AACCTGCACATGGGTACAGGTCAACAGCCACGTAGGTGTCTCTTTTCACTCTACAGTCTCACAGCTGTAGTCTGGTTTGCATGCTAGAACCTCGAGCAGCCAGCACGAAATTTAAAAAAGTAGCTTAACACGAGGCGAGCAGAGTTGCAAGCCTGAGGCGGTCAACGGCACTGCCCCAGAAGTGTTCGACCATCGTGGTCGAGTTTGCGGGACGAGAAATTCAACCCTATCCGATCAAGAGACATGCCGCCGTCGGATCTCTGCAAGCATGTGTTATGACTTGCCCAAGGCTGCGGCCGCGGCGAAAAGCGCAGCAGCTGCAGATCCAGATGACTGTCCAGGACTTTCCTGTCAAACTTGAAAGCTCCGTAGACTATCCTGCTACAGACGAGCCCTGGCCCTCAATCGCAGCAGTACCTCATCTCGAGAGCTGCCCGTGCGCGGGAAAGATGAACTGCTGGCCTTTGGCACTCGAACTCGCAATGCTTCAGAGTCTGTCACGTCTGTCATGCAGCGTGCTTCGACCGAGAGTAGAGGTCGCCAGGCAGTCACTCGCATGCAAGCTCCAGCCGCCGCACCCCGACCCCAGCAACCAATACACCGAAGCACACGGAAGACTGCGCGCTTACTGACTAACTATATAAGCTACTGGCTAGCTGACTAACAGATTAAATTGAAATACCGCCCTGACACACACGCGCACGACCCGACGTGCGCGCTAGCCTGCGACGTTCTTGCTATCAGTACAACTTTTCCAAATCCCGTGGCTCTCATGAGACTGTTCTTCTAGTGCTGCGAAGAATCACTTTAAACATGGGCACAGCCCAAGGCTGCGAGTTTGCGTCAGTTCGCTTCTTTCGTGCTTACTCACGTCTCTTTCGGCTCTGTTCGTCCTTTGTACCTCTTCCTTCGGCTTATCCGCCGACCCCTGCGGGCGGCGCCCGTGATATCCCGAGAGGTGTCCGCACCCACACCGCTTCCACCGCCTCCACCGCTCTGTTCAGAGAGTCTTTCTCCGCTGTAGTTGTAGGTGTTTAAAGAGTATGTAAAGGCTGGCAATGTGTGCCCGGACCTCTCCGCGCCCCACTGCCCCCACCGTCCTCACCGCCCCCACCGCCCTCACAACCTCCACCACCGCCCTGTTTAAAGAGTCCTTCACCGCTGTATTTGTAGGTGTCAAAAAAAAATAAGAGTATTTAAAGGCTGCCAATGTGTGCCCAGACCCCTCCGCGCCCACACCGCCCCTACCGCCACCGCCGCCCTTACTTTTACAAAGTATTTAAAGGCTGCCAATGTGTGCCCGGACCCCCCGCGCCCCCACCGCCCACACCGCCCCCACCGCCCACACCGCCCTCACCGCCCTCACCACCTTCATCCCCCTCCACCGCTTTCACCGTTCCCACCGTCTCCACCGCTCTCACCGCCCGCTGTATTTGTAGGTGTTTAAAGAGTAAAGAGTATTTAAAGGCTGCCGATGTGTGCCCGGACCCCCCCGCACCCCCACCGCCCACACCGCCCCCACCGCCCCCACCGCCCACACCGCCCTCACCGCCCTCACCACCCCCACCACCTTCATCCCCCTCCACCGCTTTCACCGTTCCCACCGTCTCCACCGCTCTCACCGCCCGCTGTATTTGTAGGTGTTTAAGGAGTAAAGAGTATTTAAAGGCTGCCAATGTGTGCCCGGACCCCCCCGCGCCCCCACCGCCCACACCGCCCACACCGCCCTCACCGCCCTCACCGCCCTCACCACCCCCACCACCTTCATCCCCCTCCACCGCTTTCACCGTTCCCACCGTCTCCACAGCTCTCACTGCCCGCTGTATTTGTAGGTGTTTTTTTTTTTTTTTTTTTTTTTTTTTTGTTTTTTTTTTGTTTTTTTTTTTTTTTTTTTTTTTTTTAAAGAGTAAAGAGTTTTTTAAAGAGCTGCCAATGTGTGCCCGGACCCCCCCGCGCCCCCACCGCCCACACCGCCCACACCGCCCCCACCGCCCCCACCGCCCCCACCGCCCACACCGCCCTCACCGCCCTCACCGCCCTCACCACCCCCACCACCTTCATCCCCCTCCACCGCTTTCACCGTTCCCACCGTCTCCACCCCTCTCACCGCCCGCTGTATTTGTAGGTGTTTAAAGAGTAAAGAGTATTTAAAGGCTGCCAATGTGTGCCCGGACCCCCCACGCCCAACCACCCACACCGCCCCCACCGCCCACACCGCCCACCACCCGCCCTCACCGCCCTCACCACCCCCACCACCTTCATCCCCCTCCACCGCTTTCCCGTCCCACCGTCCCACCGCTCTCACCGCCCGCTGTATATTGTAGGTGTTTAAAGAGTAAAGAGTATTTAAAGCTGCCGATGTGTGCCCGGACCCCCCCGCGCCCACACCGCCCCCACCGCCCCCACCGCCCACACCGACCGCCCCCACCGCCCACACCGCCCTCACCGCCCTCACCACCCCCACCACCTTCATCCCCCTCCACCGCTTTCACCGTTCCCACCGTCTCCACCGCCCGCTGTACTTGTAGGTGTTTAAAGAGTAAAGAGTATTTAAAGGCTGCCAATGTGTGCCCGGACCCCCCCGCGCCCACACCGCCCCCCACCGCCCACACCGCCCCCACCGCCCACACCGCCTTCACCGCCCTCACCACCCCCACCACCTTCATCCCCCTCCACCGCTTTCACCGTTCCCACCGTCTCCACAGCTCTCACTGCCCGCTGTATTTGTAGGTGTTTAAAGAGTAAAGAGTATTTAAAGGCTGCCAATGTGTGCCCGGACCCCCCCGCGCCCACACCGCCCACACCGCCCACACCGTCCCACCGCCCACACCGCCCCCACCGCAACACCGCCTTCACCGCCCTCACCGCTTTCACCGTTCTCCACAGCCGCCCGCCCAATGTGTGCCCGGACCCCCCCGCGCCACACACCGCCCACACCGCCCACACCGCCCACACCGCCCTCACCGCCCTCACCACCCCCACCACCTTCATCCCCCTCCACCGCTTTCACCGTTCCCACCGTCTCCACCGCTCTCACCGCCCGCTGTATATGTAGGTGTTTAAAGAGTAAAGAGTATTTAAAGGCTGCCAATGTGTGCCCGGACCCCCCCGCGCCCACACCGCCCACACCGCCCACACCGCCCACACCACCACACCGCCCCCACCGCCCACACCGCCCTCACCGCCCTCACCACCCCCACCACCTTCATCCCCCTCCACCGCTTTCACCGTTCCCACCGTCGCCTGCTGTATTTGTAGGTGTTTAAAAATTAAAGAGTATTTAAAGCCTGCCAATGTGTGCCCGGACCCCCCCGCGCCCCCACCGTCCGCACCGCCCACCCACACCGCCCACACCGCCCCCACCGCCACCACCCCCTCCACCGCTTTCACCGTTCCCACCGTCTCCACCGCTCTCACCGCCCGCTGTATTTGTAGGTGTTTAAAGAGTAAAAAATATTTAAAGGCTGCCAATGTGTGCCCGGACCCCCCCGCGCCCACACCGCCCACACCGCCCACACCGCCCCCACCGCCCACACCGCCCTCAGAGTAATTAAAGGCTGCCAATGTGTGCCCGGACCCCCCCGCGCCCACACCGTCTCCATCGCTCTCACCGCCCGCTGTATTTGTAGGTGTTTAAAGAGTAAAGAGTATTTAAAGGCTGCCAACCCGGACCCCCCCGCGCCCACACCGCCCCCACCGCCCCCACCGCCCCCACCGCCCACACCGCCCACACCGCCCCCACCGCCCCCACCGCCCACACCGCCCAACCGCCCACACCGCCCCCACCGCCCCCACCGCCCACACCGCCCGCCACACCGCCCCCACCGCCTACGCCCACACCGCCCCCACCACCCCGATCGCCCCCACCGCCAACACCGCCCCCACCGCCCTCACTACCTTTATTGTCCTCACTGCCCGCCCCGGCTTTGCGATGCGCCGCCGCGCGCGCGACTTTTTTTTGTCGTACCATCCCATGGCCACAACTGCACTGGTTCCGTATCTTAAGCATATCGAATACAGCCCTCCTGCTAAACTCGGTTTTGTGCGGATGCCTTTTGCCTCTGAGTCACAAGGTTGCTGAAACATGCGCACACAATGTCCGAGAGCTGAGCACTGCGTCAGTCCGAATACTTCGCCGCATCAGTCATGTGCTCATGCTACTCGTGCCAGTTACAAGACTTGCAGTGGCTGCTTTCAACACCTGCTGCGTTCCTTGGATAGTCGCCTCTCTTCTTTTGGGGTCGGCGGCAGTGGCGGCAGCCCATAAATATTGACATTTGTCCTAGCAAGACCCAGCCGGGCTCTGCACAGTCCGCGTACTCAGCTGGTCTTCGACCTTCCAACAGAACGAGAACCTCTGGAGATGCGTGCCGGCGGCATAAGTCGCACAGTCGCACCTTGTCCTCCGGCGGCACCAAGGCTGAACCTCCCAAGCACTGGCCGCGACGGCTTACAAACAGGCGCGCGACATGCACCTCCGACGGCACAGGCACACATGCATCCGAGCGGAGCTCATAGCAAAAAGGAGAGGAGAAAGTCGACTAAGAAAGCAACTCCTCACGTGCTAAAGCCTGGGTGCTAAGTGCTACATGTAGACCAAAGACATGCAACATTAGCTTCAAAGCCAAGGCATTAACTCAGACGCATGACTTTGAGCTTCAGGGTGTCTGCCGGCTACCATCGGCTCTTGGGCCACACGGCGGGAGAAGTACAAGTAGCATCCTCCCCACCATCGTCGCATCCTCCGCTCGGCGATTCGGAACGATGTGCCAGAGGCAGTTTCAGTCAGCACATTCAGCACAGGCACAAGCTATCCGCAAAAACATGTTATCCGAGTAAAGCACTTGAACTCTGACGAGCTCTATAGAACTGTATAGGAGCCTTTTCTGCTCCAAGCGATGTTGTCATCACCATCACTTTGGGCAATTCCAACCGCTTTCTGCACTTTTCGCTTTCCGACCAGATGGCCTGGTGCTGAGGAAATATCTGTTCATAACTTTTCACTGGAAGTATACAATGCGCGACTTCTCATCAGATTGTCCCAGGGTAGACTTCTGGGCGACCACGTGTGCTCCGACCTTGGCCAAGCTCCCACATTTGGATGACGAGACTCCCAGGCCAGGCTCCGAGCATCCACAGGCTTTGCAATGAGAATTTGACCTGATCTCGGCACGAAGTTGGGTAGACTAAAGCGGATAGAAAGCTGGATTTGGCTGGATTTGAATAAGTGTGCGGCCGTTGACCAGACATTCCTCTCCGGCTGTGAGCATTGCCTTGATTTCATGGGTAAGCAGGGAATTGATGATACCCGTGCTTGGGCCCAGATTAGGACATCCAATCTGAACCCCAAGATCCGCACTTTGCCGACATTCTGTTCAAGCTGGTTGGAAGCCTTGCATGCATCCACAACTGTGTCGGCATAGAGCAGACGATCACTGGGCACCATGCAGACTGTGCAAGTACGTCCCCAGTGCGGCCCTGAATCAAGGCCATGACCTTGGCAACCCAGCAAGTTGGAAGTCAGGTGATGCTCCAGTACTTCGAATACAAACCGAGGTACCGAAGGGCCGTAGCCACAGGCACAGGCACCGGAGGCACCGGCAGCCAAAGCCTGAGGCTCCAGGCTTGTCTCGGGGGCAATACGCATGTCTTCGGCCTGATGTTGCCTGGGCCATGAGTCTTCTGGGCTCAATGCAGCCTGCGACACGGGGCGGATATGCGGAAACTTTTCGAGGATCGTCGGCCTCAGGCAAGAGATTCTGCTATGCTTTTCGCTCATTCCGTCTGCGGCAAGTGGCGAAGCAAGGAAGTCCTCTGAGGCCTGACAACACAGCAACACAGCGCGGCACGGAGACAGTTCTGTCCAAACCGGGGGGCCTTCTGAAATTTCGCGAAGTCTTGAGTTGCGAAGCAGTTGATGAGCAGCGCCGATCTTCCAACCTCTGGAGAAAGAAAGTGCGCGAACACATGCGAACGCTACGCCCACTCCGCTCGGCCGGGGAGCGTTGAAGATCGCATTCCTCCGCTCCACGCTCTCCACCTCCAAGCGCCCGCCTTCCTCCTCTGGAGACAAAAACGTGTGTGCATGCTCTGTCAGAGCTCTCTCTTCTTTCTGCACTTTCTGCAAGCGGGATGGGGGAAGGCCTGCATCGTGCTAGAGCTGCTAGAGTCTAGAGCGTGCCTTCGGGAGCCTCGGATTAAAGGGAGTTCAGGACTACTGCTCTTGCCCCCTCAAAGATTGCTTATGTCCCGGCGGCCTCGCACTAGTACCGCAATGTGGAGACTCCTGCTATCTCCCCGTGCCGCTGCGAGCACTTCTGGTTGACGCCCACGACGGGTGGTTTGTTTAGGCTCCCGAGTGAATGCAGACGTTTCCGCATCCTAGCAGAGAGTAGCGCAAAAAGCGTCGAGGTACCAGGGTCCCCGCCAAAGACCCAAGTTTCGAAAGAAACATTCATTAACAGTTCTGGCCTGGGGTAATCGCCCTTGCTCAGTTGATCAATAGCCTGCACTGTGCACTGGACGAACCGTTCAGCCTTTTCCACAAGTCACATGTGCGTGAGCTTCAGGTCCACCACCTCATCCACCGTCTCTCCAGAGGCTCCGACTGTCTTTCCATGTCCATCTGGTGATCGCCTACCCCTCTCTGAATCTCCCCCTGCCAACTTCCCCCACGGCCAGTTGCCCTGTTGGTCGTCGCCTGCCCCTACGGGGCGGCCACGGTGAAAAAGAGATGGATCCTTCAGACGTCTGAAGTCCCCAACTCCACGGCTCTGTCGGCTGTCGATAGGCTGAACTGCCTTTGCAACAAGGATCAACAAGGTACATGTACAACGTTGCGGCGCCTTGTGACGTCGTGCTCCCAGCTCTTATCTTCAATTTACAAGGAAGTGCACAGCTCCTTGGCATCGGGAACGAAGAGACACAAGACAAGGCCGTTCGGAATTGGCACCTGTGCATTCCGCTTGTGCTCCGAAGGTGCAAATCTGGAAATGTGACAACAACTTGAAGGAGCACGCGATGCGAGCGCGTTCCGGAGACAGTTGGGATTCCAATCTGGCAGAGCTTGCAGCTACCGCAGTGTGCGATTCGGAAACCTGCTGTCATCAAGCCTGGAGAGCCCCGTAGATTGCTGGGCACCTCGCAATCTATGCATGTCGCAAGCACAAACAAACGAGCATTTCGGCGATGCAGAGGCACACATTTCCGGGATTCCATCCACGTGCTATTGTCCTAAGCCAAGTCGAGGCAGGAGTCAGCGAGGCAGTGCCATGCCATCTGTACATTTGTGGCTCACTCAGTCGAGAGCGCTTGAAGCAATGCGTCGACGTTCGAAGTCTCACAAGGCACCTCAATTGTAAAGGACAGGAAGAGGAAACCCGTTACTCCGGGAAAGCAGCACACGGAACGACGAGGCTTAAAGTTCGCGGCTCCGTCTGGGAACGTTCCAGAACGCGCCCTGACCACCTCTTCCTGCAGAAAGCAACAGCGGCGGCAGCGGTTGCTTTCTGCCGCTGCAGGCAGTGTTCCCGCTCCTGCTCTGGCTGCTCTGGCTGCTCTGCTCTTGGTGACAGCCTCAACTCCTGGAAAGAGCGCAAGGGACGACACACGTGACTTACGGGAGCGTCTTTCTTTGCCTCGGCGGAGAGCACGGATGCGGCCAGGAAGCCGCCGACGAAGGAGGCGCTTGCAGCACCAAGACCCTCGGCAGAGCTGAACATCATGGTTCATCATGCCTTGATCCGTCGACACAATCTGTCGCGCACCTTATTGAAGGGTATTCTATGCTCGCAAATGAACCGCAGCGATGGTAGATGTCTGCCGCAAACCTCGTTGCACAGACCCGCTTGAGTACTAAAGGAAAGCTCCTGTCGAAAGTGCTGGGGAGCCTTGAACGCTGCAGCAGCCCCTTGCACCACCAGGTTGGCTTCCGTGCGAGGTACCTGCGTTCAGGACAGTGCCTCGCCGCCTCCTATGGAATCTCTGCTCCTAGCAGCGGAATCGCATCGCCTCAGCGATGTCGGTGCCACGCAGCTCGACACTGAAGTGATCCGAGAACTCAAGCGTAAACTCGTCCCAAATGTCAACGGCCTCGGCAAGCTTGACAAACGGTTGTATTCTCCAGGAGTGTCGAAGCTCCAGTTTTGTTAAAGGATTTCGGAAGGCAAAGGGATTGATCTCAGCAGCAACTATTCTCTCAAGTTCTGATGGGAGGATTTCAATAGTCGTAATTATGCCCATATAAACCTTCAGTGCAAGCGCGAAACATTCTGAAATGAAACAGCTGTATAGACTCGTTCTCAAGGTCTGAATATAATATGTTCTTGAAACCTCTGAAGGCTTCGCAGCACAAGTCTGACAGCATGCAGCGGCTGAGCACAAAGCTCAAAGGGCACAGCATGTACAAAGACCACAAGTGCGTGAGAGAGTTTCTTCACTAGTCTGAAGACCTGGACAGTACTGCTGTTTCAAATCCGCGGGCATCTTGGACTGATTCCATGGAGCCAACCCTTGCTGTTGCTTGGTCTCAGGATTCGGCCAAGCCAACAGTCTCCAAGCCAGGCCCCAAGTTGGCCACAGTAGCTGGCACAGAGACCGTCACACGGCGCTGTGCCAGGGCAACCTCCAGTATCGACATGTGCTGCTCCGGCTTCCGATGGTTTCCGGCTCCACAAAACACAGGTCAGGCAGCGGAAGCGTGCATAAGCTTCTGCAGCTCCTCCTGGAAGCATTTCGCGAGTCTAGCAGCCATTGGACGTGACGGAAGCCCGAAGCCTGTGCTGGCCCGGCCAAGCCGTATTTCTGGGCAAAAGATACAACTTCGGGCATAAGCCCCCCATTTCCTTGGGCAGCACAACACAAGCGATGCGCAACGCCCCTTTGCAGCAGACACTCAAACCAAGGTGGCCTGGGCCTGGGCCTGGACTGCCATAGGGTCCGGCCATGCCTATGGCACTACGAGTGGAAGCCGTTTCCATGAACAGCCTGGCACCTCTTCCTAAGACACAACTAGACTCTAGACTTTTGGCTCATGTAGATCATTGTAGCTGACGTTTTGAGAACTTTGGGATGCCGGCGGCAAAAGCAGCTGTATGCTGGATGCGAACATAAGTGTCATGTGCAGGACCATCATCAGCTGAATCAATAACCGCAGCAACTGTCCGCCGAACGCTTGGACATGGAACGCACTCAAACCAGAGATCTCCTCTGAATGAGCTGCTCTTGCAGCTGCCACAACGGCGGGGTGAGACTCGAAGCACGTAGGACGATGGTGATGGCATGCCTATGCATGCCTATTGACAAATGTGCCGTGATGACCATCCCTGTCGTGCACCGAATCAAAGAGTTCAAGCAGACTTGGACATAGAGTTCGAACATCGCGACTGACTTGGAGCTACTCACACCTGGTGGAAATCATACGACATGCGCAACATGCATCCTCTACATGGCCACAAAACTCATGTCTTCAAGTCAGCTGCCAAAGTGAACACAGCAGACCTGTGTGGTATTGCCAGGGTCTCCTGGTCTATACTAACCTTCTACAGCTACGTTGGAGCTCAAAAATGTTGCAAAATCCGTGGTGTGATTCGTTCCGCTTCGAGCCCATCTGCTGCCTGTCGACGACACTGCGGTTTGCATGGGCTGCTGCGTGCAAATGGGCACCCAAAGCTGCCGCGAACCAATAGATGTGAAACTTAATTAATTAGTTTGAGCATGCTTTGCAAATTCTCAAATCAAAACGTCAAACTGCCCCATCCTCACATTCCTCTACACACAGGGACAAAGACAAGTTCAAGCCTGAGTTGGCGAACGAGTCAAGTCCTCCGTTTTACAAATCTATCTCACCGGTGTCTGAGCTAGAGCCCCAGGCTTATCGAGGGCTTAAGATGTAGCCATGGCCATGATCTAAAGGAGGACATCGATTGGCTCGCCAGCAAACGCACTGGCCAGTGACACGCGAGTGGGCATGCTTGGCCACCGCGGGTCGAAAGTCAAAATGCCACAAGGTGGCAGTGCAGATCTTCGGACCGGGCAGAAGGGCAATCACCCAGTGGATGCTCGTTGCCCACATGGTACATATTATAAATTCGAAAACGTGCTGCTACTATTCCAATTACCAAAGAGCACCTTGGCACACGTCGGAGATTCAATACGGAACGAAGATCCTTTCAACGGGCCAAGATGCAGGTTTCCCGGGAATTTGCACGCTTCATCCATGCCTGAAGACGAAAAATTACATGCAGAATGCAGATGCAAACCACAGGAAATAGGAGAGCAAACGGAACATCTGCGATGCTGTTTCATGCCATTTATGCCAACAGGCCATATCCCAGGCAGACCATCGACCATTCGGACCCTGCCCGTCAAAACATGACCTCAGATACCGGCAGCAGATAGGGGGTGCTCTCTCAATTGGCAGATGTGGCTCGGCGTGAGTGGACGGGTCTGCTGCACGTGGTGTTGGTGGAGCTATAGTCTACAGGATCGCATCCGGAAAACCCCAAACCCTAAACCGGACATGATGTAGACCCACGTTGTGGCTCGATCTGGGTTGCTGTCAAACGCAAAGACTTCTCTCCTTCCTAGTATTTCAGTGACGGCGGGGATGTCGCAGGTGATTATCAATGTCAGGCTCATAGAGTTGCTGCTCTTTGATGCTGGTAGACACTCCGACAACGCGTTTGATTCCATGCCAATGCGGAAAGACAGCACTGGGTGGGAGAAAGCGGGGGTGCTCATCGACTCTAGTGCTGCCCAGGAATCGCACCACAGCAAGTCCCAACAACAAATGACCACGAGCTCAGACACCTCGTCTATACCAGAGCAAGTTGCTCTCCGAGGCAGAACCGCTCTTCCGGGTGGAGCTCAAGGAGACCCTCCACGAGCTCACATAGCGAAGGCGACAACACCTGCAATAACCCTTTCCTTGCACGAACAGCCTAGCTGGCCGCATGAAACTGTTTGAAGCATGCTTCGTCCTTTCACGCAGTGCCCACCTGCACAATGTAAGTCTTGGAGGCAGCTCGGCACTTGCGGTTCTTGAAGAACTCTGGAAAACCCCAGCAGTGAATGAAACTCAGCTTCAACGCAACACATGGCTGGCAATGTGAAGGCCAGAACGGCAACGCGCGTCAATGTCAGAATACACTGTCAGCTGACTCATAAAGACATGCCAGGAGACTCGAACATGCTGCAGGAGCCTGCCCTAGTGCAGGTCCACGGATAATCGCTGAGAGCCATAGCATACAAAACGACCTTGCAGCACCACATGCAAGGCGAACACAACTTGCACATCCAGCGAACGCACATCCCGCGATTTCAGGTGTCAACTCTGGGCTTGATCCGCCGACCCTGGCGGCGTGCTGGATGGGTTGGGAGGTGCTAACCTCCCTCTTTCCCTGTGCCAGGTGACATGGGGGGAGGGGTAGGCAGCACGATTTTCCTGCAGGTAAGGGCGAATTTCGCCTACCCCCACCCTCACCCCCCACCCCCCTTAACCCCCCCCTTCCCCCGTACTTACCACCCCGGAGTACTACTACTACTACTACTACTACTACTACTATTATTACTACTACTACTACTACTACTACTACTACTACTACTACTACTACTACTGCTACTGCTACTGCTACTGCTACTGCTACTACTACTACTACTACTACTACTACTACTACTACTACTACTACTACTACTACTACTACTACTACTACACACCACTACTCCCCCGTACTTACGACCCCGGAGTACTGCTACGACAACACACCACTACGACTGCTACTACTGCTATTGCTGCTTCTTCTGTGCTACTGCTACTACACTCGGGCCTAATATGCTGTCTACAAGCTAAAACCTTCCACCCCTAAGCCCAAACAGACTCCCAACTTTACACATCGAACCCTGAGACTGCCAGCACTTCTGCAGTGCTGGGAACCTTCAGCTCTTCTGCAGAGCTGCGAATCTGGGGGGCCCCGTCAGCACTTCTTCGGTGCTGCCGACTCCCTTACTGACCTTCCCCCACCCTGCCTGCACAACGAACTGCAGCCGCAGATGCACCGCAGGTTCAGGGTCGTTGGGGCAGTCTGCAAGCTTTAACTTACGAAAGCTGCTACATCTAGTCCAGGGCATAGGACTGCTGCGACACCTGGGGTCTGGGTGTAGGGAAGGTGTTCTCAACGTTATAAACTACATCTGAAGCTTCGCGGTGTCTTCTCGGCTTGAGCCGCGTGATTTCTGGCGTCTTTCGTCCGGAGCTTCGAGCTTTAGAGATTCTCACATCCACGTTGCCTGCGTTCTGCAGGCTGCTACATACTACAACGCGACGCCAGACCCTAACGTCCTTTCCTCTGACTCCTGCGGGGTCGGCGGCTGGAGCCGGAGGCTCTTACATCGGGCAGCGGTCTTGGAGCGCTTGCGTCCTGTTGGCTCGGTCGAGCCATTCAAGCTATGCGAAGCAAAAAGCCACGATCGCGCGTGCCGCCGACCCTGCTTCATCGGACCTTCGTTTTTCCGTCGTGCCGCGCGGGCCCTGGCCCGGAGGCCTCTCGGAACGCGCACGCGTTTTGCAGCCATTCCCCACGGTATGGCGGGTTTCGGGGCCGCCGTGGACGACCCCAGGAGGCCTGGGTTTGCGGAAGCCCCCAAAGGGCCCGCATCATCAGCATCAGCGGGGTTCGGCGGAGGGGGTGCGTGCTACATGGAGGGCCGACAAGGGCTGAGAGGGAAAGGGAGGGGCAAACACAAGGGCGGGTGCGTGGCGGCTCCTACCTGCGCTGCCCGCCCGTGGGCGCAGCCCGTAGAATTCCCCTAGATGTTCACAGGGCACCTGGGGCTTCTAGCAGGCCGGCAGCCAAGGTTAAGATTGTCAAGACAGTGTCTAGCAGCACCAGTAATCAGCTTCAAGTCAGGAGATTTTACTTCACTACAGTGGCACTCCAGTCTTTTCGGGTGCAGGTCCTCAACCTCTTTCCCGAATACCATGGCAGGTGCAAGCCACATCTTATCTTCCAGCAAAGATGTGCACCGGGTCGCTCCAGCAGCGAAAATATCTGCGAGGAAGGCATCGTACTCAATATCCGTATGCATCTCGGGAGCCTCGTGCGGATTGCCGTGCTTGCACCAATGAAAAGTCGGACCCGGCCTGGTAAGCTTGTTTTCCACGAACTTCCGCACTACACCGCTGGGACCTGAGATTGGAATCGACATTCACCAGAATACCAGCAACTGATGCTATCTCCAGATCATACTAAAACAGCCTCGCCACAGCGTGGCCATGCCGAAGTCGATCACTTTGATTTGTGGACCTCTTGCATCGGCATCTTGAGCTGTACATCACTGACAAAGTGAACAAATGATTCGGTTGATTCTGTCATCGGCTGGAGTACGTCGCATCAGGCGGTTCCTCGCGAATCGTACCCTACAGCCACTGTCATCAGTAGGTTTGCTCGACACTGCCTTCGCTGCACACCGGGATCCGCGCTAAAGCCAATGCCACTCTGAAAACTCAAGCTCACAATTATGACACACACACACACACACAGACAAACAACCCCCAATGCTCGTACAATCTCAAACATCTTCGGCATGGCATGCAAGCCTCCATCCGGACGTCGCGTCAACAGTATATTCTCCTCGGCTCGAGCAGCCTATGCTCTCTCGAACAGTCCATTGGATCCCGTTGGTCTTGGAAGGCTCCTTCTTTTGGCCCTCTGCTTGACAGGCGTTTGGTGCTGCATCAAGGCTCCTGTTTCGTTCGCAGCACAGTCTATCAGAGCTATACAGGTCTGTGACTCATGAAAGGAAATTGAAAGAAAACCCTGATCCCAGACAGCAAACAAGCCATCTATAGCTTTGTGCTCTGATTCAGCTTGAGAGCTAGTGAGATGTCACGGTGCGCAATGCCAATCTCGTGCAACTCCTTCACAGCCGAAAACCTTGGTCTCTCTGAGCTGTAACTTTCGTGCAACAGGCTCATTCCAAGGGGAAAGTCTAAGATGCAGCCCAAGCACACCTGCACCATCATAGGACGGATAATGCCTCATGAGAACACTGGCTTGGCACAAAACCTTACAAGGAGGAAGAATATCCAACGATCTCAGGTATCTGCAAATTTTGAAGTCTGGAGCGCCACCGCGGCTGCTTACTGGAATGACTTCTATAGCCTTCACTTTCGTCACTTGACCGTTCTAAATGTGCAGGCCTCCTACCTCTGGCCTGTGATCCGTTTTGGTGAAAGTGAAAAGACAGCAGCAATCACTGGGCGACAATAATCGGGAAAACTCATGATGCTTCTCAGTGTCAGATTGTGCTTAGGAAGCTCAAGGCGCAATCTGAACTTGATCATGAATCATTCTGGATCAAGACTGCTGACTGCTGCACGCACGCAAAGATGAACCAGACTCATGCTCGGGCCGTGCCGAGACATAACTAGGCGTAACTAGGCGAGGGCAGAGCTGCATGCATCCGAAGCTTCTTGGAAAGCCCAGCATGCATTTGCTGGCAGTGTTGCATACTGACTAAAACTGGCGGCAAGCAATCATCGCACCCAGTCTAGAGTTCATTCGATGTGTGAACGACTCATCGGACAGTCAGCCCGGAGCCGCCTCTCAACTGTGCTGCCAAGTGCTGTAAGAGGCAAAGACTTGGCGACTCGAAAACAGCCGAGTTACTTTCACGCTCTTTGCCAGGTGGACACGGTGCATGTTCCACCCAGTGGAACAAGTCTCCTTCGCTCGCCAGCCTGATGCACCGGCAGCACAGCTATTGTCAATGCTTCCATCCGAACTTGGCATCCAGCGGTGTCGCCACATACGTGAAGTCATCGTCGCGAAAGATGCCCATCAAATCGCACACATGCGGAAACCTTACAAGCATTGTTGCAGAGACTAGCAGCATTTTTATATGATATAAGGGACTGACTCTATGCCTGCGGAATTCTACCGGGCTGCTCGAAAATCATGTCACATGCATCTTCTCTGGCCATGTCCCAAACTTTCGAGACCTGCTCACGTGTACTCTATATCCTCGTACAATGAATCAAAGCTGCTCGGTGATCGTGCAGATTTTCATACTGGACAAACGACGAAGCACACATCAAGCACCCGAATAGGACATCCGTTGCTAACTGTCATCCCCGCCCGAATCAAGACTGATCACTTACAAGGCTCTCACACAACACATTATGAGTTTTTTTAAGTATGTACCATTCTCGACATAAGGCCAGCCAAGCCGCCCTAGCGCATTGAGGTACCGGAGCATCCCAATGTCGACCCAGGGCTTTTCTGAGCTTTGCGGGTTGCTCTTTGCGAACCTTGCATTGCCGAATGCAGCTATCATGTCCGCAGACGCTTGGAAAGCCTTCCTGCAAGCTGCGTGCCCACTCAGGCTGCAACTCACCGTGTCCTTTCTTGATCCACCTGCATCAGCAAAGGGCCTCTTTGCTAGTTCCGCCGTAATGGGCCAGGCCTGTTCGGTAAACGTTTTACGGCCAAGGTCAGGTTGTCGGCTTTGCGCTCAACGGAACCCACCAAAGCTCGACTTTTGCCAGGCTCCTGCACATGCCATCTACATTGCCACTTCTACCGTGTGACTTCTTGCCTGGTGCTTTCGTGCATGCTGTCCGCCTATCTTCCTCTCACTTGCTGGATCTGTCTTCATGATCCTGTTATTTCTTCGGCTGGAAGGAAATTTCTTGCACCACGCTTACTTGTTGTCTCTTGGCCTCACATTCGCGTGTTGGAGAATAGGTCGACTCCTCCACCAACCAGGACCGAGTGGTGTTTTTTGCTCCAAGTTAATTGCTTGGGAACTTTAAGAGGAAAACCCGGAAGCTTTAGTTAGAAAGATATCGCATATCCTTCAATAGGTATCAATGGTGGGAGAGCAGAACACACCAGCCACGACGAAGTGAAAACAAAAGAAAACGTTGGATAGTCGTGGTCCAACCCATTTTTCGCGGCTCATACACGACCTTGAGGGATCGAGAACAGTCGCCGAAGTCTAGCAAAGACTAAAAGCGCTTTCCGCACGGGCCTGCAGCAACCCGGCCGCTGGGGCCTGCGCTAGGACTGGTTGCCTCGTGTAACCAGCCCAGCAAGCTTCGACCATTCTGTTAGTCTCCATGACGTTTTCAGAAAAGGCTTTGCGAGCTTCCGCAGCACGCCTCAAATATCTCAAATTTGCTTCCCAACCTTTGCACATATCTCCCATTGAAAAGCACTGCTTACTTGGGATCTTAGTTCCATAAGTTCTTCTCCGGACGCCCCAGCAGGGTCCTGGAGAGTCTCGATGCTCTTCCACCTCAATGCCGGCAAGCGACAGCTTGAATTGCTGCATGAGGCTCTCCCAGCGCTTGTGGTGCATCGCGAGGCACTCATCAGGATTCCACCGGACGATTCTCGATGCTGCGCCGTCCATGACCTGCTTGACTGATCCGGAAAGTTAGAGCACTTGCAATCGTATTGTCGGCAGTCGACTATTTACCCAGACCTTACAGCGAATGTGTGTTGCAGCTGCCTCGCAATATCTCTGTCATTCTACGACCCGGCGGAGCAGGTTCTAAGGCCGCTGAAAGCTCCTAACTAGGCGGAGGGTGGTTGCCAGTGTGGGCAGACGGTAAACGATGCATTTCACTGCGTTACTTGGCGCTGCGTCTGGAGACGTTCCTGACTTGTTCCGAACCGACAAAAACCAGTCTCCCTCTAACAGCGAGAGAGCTCCTGAAGTGAGATCACACGACTCCCGAGCAGTCACAAGACACAACTTGTTCATCAAACTCAATGATCATCCGCCCGTGAAAACCTGGGCTTGATCAAACCGGATCAGCCTGCAAAGAAGTGCCCAATAAAACTCTAAGCAATGAAATAACAATAACGCAGGCTGTAGGGATATACAGCACCTGCAGGCGCTGCGGCCAGCGACAAGCGCATGTGCATGCTGTGGCGAATCCTCTGGACGGAACAGCAGGACCTGCTCCAGCATCCGTTCCGTGAGGATGGCACCACGAGCCTTAGCGTGTTGCAAGTTTCCTCCATGCAACGTAACTCCCACACCGACGCAACAAATCAAAACACTTCCGGAGCCACATCATGCTGAAACTTCGTGCCAGGGAACCTCTGCAGTCCAAGAACGACTCGGCCGACCATCCCAACCTTTCTGAGCAGATGGCAGCTCGCACTCATGCACAAGTGTGTCAAAGACTTCCGGAATGATGCAACCTCGGGTGCTTCGTACAGGGAGCATACGGCACCAACTAAAGCTGGCTCGACTCTTCATCAATTACCTGATTTAGTAGATCCCTGCTGCGTATCCGATCTCTTGCTTTGGTTTGCGACGCCCAGCACCACAGGGAGGATGGACCGAGGCCCGAACCAAAGCAGCCACATCGCCTAGGACGGCTTTCACGTATAGAGATCACAACACACTTCAACGCCGCTGTGCACGTTCGGCCACGAGGCAGAAAGAACGGAATCTGCTTGGCCATGAGAGAGACCAAAAAGATACACCGAAATGTTTCGGCTGGGAACTGCAGCTGCTGTGTGGAATGCGTAGACGGTGCATAAATACAATCCACTGTTGGCCAATCTGCTTCTATCACTGGTGCGCATGTTCAAGGCCATGCTGAAGCAACTGCGAGCTCTTGACTTCTGATGCCGCGCTACGTGAAAGCATACAGCTGCAGTGGAAGAAATCAGCGCGTGGCGGCAATGACCTGACTGTTGAATTACCTGTGATGCTCGTAGATGCTCCTAGCAGCGAAACTAGGCAACATGTTAGAGCCTCCCCAAGTCCATAAGCAATGAAGTCCGTGCATAGTCGCCGCTGCGAAAGACTGTTGTTTTCTGCCGAAGCATCTGCATGACATGCGCCACACGAATATGATAACTTGGCAAAGGTGCTCACGAGGCTGCGGTTTAGTTTGGAAACGTCGACCAATTCATACAAAAGATCATAGCCGCGTCAACATCTCTACCGAGCTTTCTGCTCATGATGGCATCGTCTTGTCAAACACTTCAGAATTGGGGCTTCTTGCCACCGAAACATCAGACATCCATCATCATGGATGATACAAACACTTCGCAGCTAGAGATGCAGATCGATTGTCACCTGGGTGCGTGTGCTGAACTCAAACCATCCCATGGGGGCCTCAAAATCCAAAACGAACTCTGTTGGACTGCGATTAGCACTGCTTCAACGGCTCAGATCCCTCAAGTGCTGGTTTGCTTAATTGCTGTACGAAGCAGCATCTCTTCAATACTTATTGGAGAAGGATTACATCTCTAGCTGCCCTATCTACCGCCAACTCAGCCACGGCCATGCCTACTGCAAGAAAACCGCCAGTGGCCTTCAGTAGCACAAACGGAAACACTGAGGGCGTCCGTGCGAAAAGCATAGCTGACACGTAGGCTACAACGTGCCTGCTGCGGCTCCGCTTCTCTGAGGCCGGAGCTGCAACTCAGCACTTGCTGATGCCAGCTGCATCGCAGCCTCGGAGGCCGAGAGGGAGGGAGAGGTACAAGGAGGGAGCGAGCAGACAGACAAGGAGAGAGAGAGAGAGTCACAGAGTCAGAGAGTCAGTCAGACAGTCAGAGGATGTCGGAGAGCTTGAGAGCGAGAGAGGCCAGAGGCGGCGAGCGACGGATTGTGGGCATCTTGGAGTCTTCCGAGGGCAGGGAACATCTCTCGTTCTTGGGCACGGGCGGCGCCAAGAACTGGCTTCAAGGCTGCTTTCGCAGCCGACTGCAACTCGGGGACCTCGCGACGACGGGCGGTGGCCGCAGAGCAGAACAGTGAGGAACTCGGATCTCCGAGGGCTGTGGGTTGTAGTGGATTGTCTTCGGCTGCGCAGATGTCTCTCTCTGTCTCTGCTGAGCTGTGTTCTGGGCTCGGTACGTCTGGCGCCAGTCCGGCTGCTGCACCGGGGAGGTCAGTGTTTTGGAGCTTGTTGAAGGAAACTTCATACCTTGACTGCGGGAGCGCATGAGAATGCTTTTTGGCGGATCTGCACCTCCAGGACGCCGACTCCTGACCTGCACCTCCATTTTCCAAGAATTCGTCATCGGATCCTCCACAAGAAGCTTGAGCATGTCGACTCGGGCGAGGCAGCGAGGCTGGGACCCTCGTCGCCGTTCAACTTCGACTTGTTGTTCGACGAGGACAGCCCCAATCTTGCAGCACGTGCCAATCGCCAACATCCCCAACGCCTCTCAGTTCTGCCGGGTCGCAAGTGAACGAGGCCAACAGCACAAGCGCCAACCAGCTGTGTGTTCCTTAGCGACTGTTGCTCGGTTTCTGACCCAGCACTTCTAGAATATCTGAGAAACCGCGCTGCCTCATCTCATCTAAAGACAGTAGTCTGGCCACTGCCATAACGCACACCTGTGCTAGCTAACTAACAAAGCTTTCACAGCTTCAGCATGAACAGAGACACAGAAGAATCCGTTTAGCCTTGCGTTCGTCCGTTTTCAGCGGCATCTTCAGCACTGGTGGCCAAACATTGAGCACAAGGTTGCTAAGCAGGCCAGCCTGTGCATGTGCCACATTCCATCCAGAGCTTCGACGCTGCTGCCACTCTAAGTCGATTGCAACACGAGCTTTCTGCAGTCTCAACATCACAGCTCCTGCAGGCCAAGACGTCCAGCCTGAATCTCATTGAAGAGTGGTATTACTGACTGGTTCTTGTGGATGCAAAGCCTCAGCCGCAATCTGAGAACAAGGCAACACAATTCAACCCGGGCACCCCAACACATGGACGGTAACAAGCGGGAAAGGAGAAGGAAGCGAACCCAGAAAGCGAGTACTGGTTCTCACTGGTCCTCCGACAGGTAGAGGCACGAAGAGTGGACGCGGGGAGAGCCCTATGGCACTGACCACGACAAATACAGAGCCGACAAGTCGGCCTTTCCGCCTGGGATGTCGGCCGCGCTGAGTGTAGCCCCCCACTGTTCTCCGTTTGGGGAAATGCGGAAGATGCCCACAATCAGCACAGTATGCGCGAAAAATGAAGATCAGTAAGCAGCTGAAACAGCATGCAGAAGGCAAAAGCTGTACATTTACCTCACAAACACCAGGAAAAGGAAACACATCAGAAAACGGAGTCAGCAGCAAGAAAGCGACTTCAACCACCTAAACGACCGCGCAGAACCAGAGGACCAACCAGCAGCATTCACAAAACGAGAAAGCAAAACACCGCAGTCGGTCCCACCAAAGCAAGAACTACACCCCCCTCCCACCCCTGTTGCCAAGAGCTATCTTTCCTCCCAAATCCGCAAAAAAAGAAACGCCCCCTCCCCCAGGCCTCCCCCTCCTCCTCCCTCCTCTGCCGCCAAACCCCTCCCAAGAACAATCTGCCCACCCTGACACAAGTAAGAATTGCCCGGTAAGCCAGCAGTCACGAGCACGCATTGCGAGTCTAAGGCCTGAACGAGCACGAGACAACGAAGTCCCGTTTGAACTTTGGTGACTTGCTGCTTTGAAGTCTAGTCAACCTGAGCCACTCAACCATGCTAACGGTGCTAACGGAAAAGGCTTGATTCCAACGCAAGGCCGGCGCAAAACAGTCATCAAGGTCTTGAGAAACTGCTGGTAAAACTCAATCGGCAGATGCTGGTATATCGCGTTCAGCCTGGGTACATCAGATGCTGCCTGGCACATGACACATTCGGTTCCCTGCAACACGACGTCCCAGGCTTCAGACAGGTCCAGCGCTGCGACCTGGCCAGCACAGACACTGTGCATCTCTGTAAATGTCGCAGATGCCAAAAGACTGCCAATACTACATGACTCACTGAGCTTGCAGGCCTCGGTCTTCCGATTCATGAGAACGAATTGGAACCGTTCAAGGATCGCCTGAAAGCACCACGGAACAGGTGCCAGCTAAGAAGCATGCTAGCATCCCCTGCACCTGCATGTGCGTCCTCAGCAGCTCGGCAAAACTAGCGTGTTTTGCAAAGTATGCACCTCGGCGGATGCACGTTCGCGCATCTCACTGCTCGCAGCCACGGAGTCGCCAAGGCTGCAACGCAGAAGTCTAATCAGACCCGGCACATTTGCCTTTCTGCAACATGTGTTTCTGCTTCTCTCGTGACATCGATGCGAAGACCAATTGTAACTGCCGATGCACCCACTGCGGAAGTCCCCACGACCATGACACTTACAAAAACATTGCAGCACATATTGGCCATATTGGCACCTCTCCACATCCGGCGGGCCATGCTAGCTTTCGACACGGATCTCGGAATCTCCATGAAGTTGGGAACTTGCCCGGAAACAACCCCTATGTCAGGTCTTGCGCCGAATTGTGTTAAGCTCCCTTGTTCTCTCCCTCAACGCAAAACGACGAAACGAACACGAGCAACTCGCCTGGGCACGCCAAAGCTCCGGGTTCAAGAGCCTGGGCTCTGCGCAGCGAAGGACATTAAGGAATATCCCTCCCCGGCTTGTTCCAGCAGGGATAGACTGCGACATTCGGTTCTGGCTGCATGATCCACAAATGCCGTCCTGCACTAAACTCTCAGTGCCTAGCCTTGCAAAAAGCTCTGTGTAGAGTGGCTTGATGCTCGGGGAAGCCTTGGCAAAGCAGAGTGGATCTGCACCGTGTCCGAAGATTTTCCGTTCTTGTGAACATCCGATCTTCCTGAAGTGCCATTGCAAGGACTTGACTGACGAAATGCTGCTCGTACCCTCCACTGAGCTTGCAACATCAAGCAGCAAGCCCATTATCTGAAAAGTATACCTCAAAGTCTCCAACGCAACGCATGCAACGCGTGCCACGCGGCACAGGCAAGACGTGCATCATGTATCAAGAAAGGCAGATTAGGCTGTGCTTCGTGCGGAAGGAAGTCCACCACATTCCTTTCCTGTGCGGCAGGCCGTCCCAATGATCAGCTACAGGAGCTGGCAACCAGTGTTGATCTCAGTTCCCAGCAAGAATCTGCCCAAAGGTGGGCAGCAGTGCGCTTTCCACCTCAGAAGCATTGGAGGTGCACAGCGCAAGGGTACACAAAACTGCAAAGAGTTTAAGGGTAGCCGGGGGCCCGGGCAGCATCAGGCTGCCCAGGTACACAAACCTTCACAATCGAGGCAACTGCCTGGCAGGAGAAATGCACGATGTCTTGACAGAGCCCTATGTTCTGAATGGCTTTGGCCTCAAAGAGATGATGATTGAAAACAGGATTTGAAGGATTTGCTGACATGGCCAACAGGATGGCCGACAGCGGACTCAGCCTCAGCAGGACGACCCGGCGAAAAGGACAGAACGCGTCGGGAGACCTTCAACTTGGCAGTGCACGTTGCCAGGCCGGTCTCGGCGCCCTGAAAGGAGACATCAGGAAAGCATCAACAGCTGGCAAGAGTGGAATCGAGCAGCACTTCCATGGCTTCCGGACCCCGTGAGGTTCACTTGCAAGCGACATAGCTTCAGCAAGCACCCGGCTCGCAAACCCTGATTCTCAACAGCAGGCCCCTCTCAAGAACACAATCCAAAGGAATAAGAAAGACACCGGTACACATTACAACAAGACGATGTTCTTGCACAGAACATCCAGTGGCCCAGACTGTGGCAGATGACACGAATGCACGATGCCACATGGTATTCTAAAGAGACGAAGCAGCTCGGCTAGATGCCGCGACTCCAGACGAGGCCTGCCTGCATGCGGGAGCCGATTGAAACAGACTCGCAGGGTCCCTGTGCCTGTGCCGGTCTGATGAAGTGATGGTGATGATGAGGAGGAGACGATGACGATTACGATGACGACGATGCTAGCGATCATGATGATGGCTGGTGTTCACGGAAATGCAAGAGTCCCTCCGTGGCGATAACGCTGCGACTGTGACAGCAAGAATATGCAAGGACAAGGATGGTGGGAACTAGCTCGAACTCGAAGCTACTGGTCGCAGCATGTGCAGATTCCAGTGAGGAATGCTGGCACAATGGAAATCTGGCCCTTGAGATCTCCGAAGGTACCACTGTCATGCCGCGACTATTAGCCGGGATTCACCGACATGCTTTGACCCAGCTCTCGTTGCTTTGCTTGCAGCTTCCCTTGAAACGAAGACTTACCTATCACAGGCACAAGATCATGAAAAGCAAAAGAAGTATCAGACAATGTACACCCGCCGCACATACCACGACAATCGCACGAAAGTTAAAATCCGCGATAACCACACTCTAAATAGGACATTATAGGACATTGCAGTTGCTGATGAATGGCTCAAACCGCTGCAGCATCAACGGCAATGTGACAAAACACGTGACATGACTGAAGGAAACTAGTCATATACATCAGCACGGTCCAGATTTTCCCAGCCATGGGATCCAAGGAGGCGGAGGGGCAGCTCTCGGCTTTTCACAACATTTGGAGCTAGCAACTCGTTCCACCAATGGCGAAGAAGAACACAATCCTGTGATGCCTTCGACACACAAGCCAACCTGAAGGCTGGCTGTCGTGACATGCACTTACCGGCCGGCTGCCGAAACGACATCCGTAGCAAGCAGATCTGCTGTCCCCTGCTGTAGGGTCGATTTCTGCCGATGCGACAGGTTTAATCCGATATTTTCCGGTTCCAAGCCTGCTGCTTCAAGAAGCTGAAGATTCGTGCGACGGTCCTGGAAGGAAATGCTAATGGCAGAGCTCGGCAGCGCGCCCAACCACAAGCAAAAATCTGGCTCCTCATGAGGTACTCGTTCATGGGTATGCCCTGCAGCTGTTACTGCATCCGCACAGTTAAGGCACGGTAGTTGCACCGACTTGCCTTACTGCTGGCGACGAGTTGGAGCATGGGATGAACCGTTTGCAGCAGGTGACCTTTCATGGACCTGTCAAAAGAAGAAAGCAAACTCACAGGCACAATCAGACACACACACACAGCTCAGGCCAAAACGATGGGTCGTACCGTGGCGCAAGTTGGCCCTGATCACGCAGAAATGGTATCCAAAGCAACAACAAGGCTACCTCCTCCAAACGTCTCTGCATTTCAGATTTGTGTGATTGCCATATGATACAGTTTAGAATGCACGAAGGTCATTTTCCACATGCGGCATTGCCCAGATGCATCCATGCGCCCAGTGCGTACTGTTTTCGGAGCTCTGTTCTGATCTGCCTTCTCAGTACCTTGTTTTGGTGAAACCACCTCTATCAGACATATAATTGGGAAGGAGTAGGTACCTAGGTATTCTTTTTAAGAGTATGCCGCGGTGGGTGCCAAAACCCGGTGGTAAACGCAAGTTTTAATCTTGAACCTTCTGACGGGTTGTGAGAGGACTTACGGGGTCTTGCCGAGGTGGGGGGACACCGGGGGCGGCACTAAGGCGGCTTCTTCCGCCGATGAGCACCCCCCTCCTCGCCCGCATTCCTCCCGTCAGGGCGACAGTGCCTGGCGTACTCTTTTCTTTTTTCTCCTCCCAAAGGCGCTTCCATCCGTCCCGTAGGTCTTTCGCCTTCCATGCCTCGTGCAGGGTTTCCGTGCTGCAATCCCAGACCCCCCGTCTCGCTCCGAGATTGGGGGTCTGGCTTGTTGCCTTCTTCAACGCCTCCCGTAGGTCTTTCGCCTTCCATGCCTCGTGCAGGGTTTTCGTGCTGCAATCCCAGACCCCCGTCTCGTTCCGAGATTGGGGGTCTGGCTTGTTGCCTTCTTCCACGCCTCCCGAAGGTCTTTCGCCTTCCATGCCTCGTGCAGGGTTTTCGTGCTGCAATCCCAGACCCCGCGTCTCGTTCCGAGATTGGGGGTCTGGCTTGTTGCCTTCTGCCTCGTGCAGGGTTTTCGTGCTGCAATCCCAGACCCCCGTCTCGTTCCGACATTGGGGGTCTGGCTTGTTGCCTTCTTCCACGCCTCCCGTAGGTCTTTCGCCTTCCATGCCTCGTGCAGGGTTTTCGTGCTGCAATCCCAGACCCCCCATCTCGCTCCGAGATTGGGGGTCTGGCTTGTTGCCTTCTTCCGCGCTTCCCGTACGTAGGTCTTTCGCCTTCCATGCCTCCTGCAGGGTTTTCGTGCTGCAATCCCAGACCCCTGTCTCGCTCCGAGATTGATGGTCTGGCTTGTTGCCTTCTTGCACCCGTGGTCTTTCGCCTTCCATGCCGCGTGCAGGGTTTTCGTGCTGCAATCCCAGACCCCCGGTCTCGTTCCGAGATTGGGGGTCTGGCTTGTTGCCTTCTGCCTCGTGCAGGGTTTTCGTGCTGCAATCCCAGACCCCCCGTCTCGTTCCGAGATTGGGGGTCTGGCTTGTTGCCTTCTTCAACGCCTCCCGTAGGTCTTTCGCCTTCCATGCCTCGTGCAGGGTTTTCGTGCTGCAATCCCAGACCCCCGTCTCGTTCCGAGATTGGGGGTCTGGCTTGTTGCCTTCTTCCACGCCTCCCGAAGGTCTTTCGCCTTCCATGCCTCGTGCAGGGTTTTCGTGCTGCAATCCCAGACCCGCCCGTCTCGTTCCGAGATTGGGGGTCTGGCTTGTTGCCATCTTCCACGCCTCCCGTAGGTCTTTCGCCTTCCATGTCTCGTGCAGGGTTTTCGTGCTGCAATCCCAGATGTTGCGTCTCGTTCCGAGATTGGGCGTCTGGCTTGTTGCCTTCTTCCACGCCTCCCGAAGGTCTTTCGCTTTCCATGCTGCAATCCCAGACCCCCCATCTCGCTCCGAGATCGGGGGTCTGGCTTGTTGCCATCTTCCACGCCTCCCGTAGGTCTTTCGCCTTCCATGCCTCGTGCAGGGTTTTTCGTGCTGCAATCCCAGACCCTCCGTCTCGCTCCGAGCTTGGGGGTCTGGCTTGTTGCCTTCTTGAACGCCTCCCGTAGGTCTTTCGCCTTCCATGCCTCGTGCAGGGTCTTCGTGCTGCAATCCCAGATGTTCCGTCTCGTTCCGAGATTGGGGGTCTGGCTTGTTGCCTTCTTCCACGCCTCCCGTAGGTCTTTCGCCTTCCATGCCTCGTGCAGGGTTTTCGTGCTGCAATCCCAGACCCCCCATCTCGCTCCGAGATTGGGGGTCTGGCTTGTTGCCTTCTTCCACGCTTCCCGTACGTAGGTCTTTCGCCTTCCATGCCTCCTGCAGGGTTTTCGTGCTGCAATCCCAGACCCCAGTCTCGCTCCGAGATTGGTGGTCTGGCTTGCTGCCTTCTTGCACCCGTGGTCGTTCGCCTTCCATGCCTCGTGCAGGGTTTTCGTGCTGCAATCCCAGACCCCCCGTCTCGCTCCGAGATTGGGGGTCTGGCTTGTTGCCTTCTTCGGTCTTTCGCCTTCCATGCCTCGTGCAGGGTTTTCGTGCTGCAATCCCAGACCCCCCGTTTCGCTCCGAGATTGGGGGTTTGGCTTGTTGGCATCTGCCGCCCCTCCCGTAATTCCCTCGCTTTCCATGCCCGTGCCGGGTTCTTGCGACAATCCCAGACCCCCCGTCTCGCTCCGAGATTGGAGGTCTGGGTATAACTGTCAGGTCCGCACCCCGCGTAGGTCTTTCGCTTTCCGTGCCTCGTCCATGGGTTTCGCCCTGCTATCCCAGACCTTGGGTTGTTGCCATCTTCCGTGCCGTGCCGACCCCCCCTCTCGATCCGAGATTGGAGGTCCAGGTTGCCCTGTCATTCATGTCCGCACCCACAGCAGGTCTTTCGCAATCCATGCCTCGTGCAGGGTTTTTGTGCTGCAATCCCAGACCCCCCGTCTCGCTCCGAGATGGGGGGTCTGGCTTGTTGCGACCTTCCGCCTCTCCCGCGGGTCTTTGGCCTCCCATGCCCGTGCAGGGTTTTTGCGGCAATCCCACACCCCCCCGTCTCGCTCCGAGATCTTCCGCACCTCCGTCGGTCTTTCGCCTACGATGCTTGCGCAGGGTTCTGGCCACAATCCCAGACCCCCGTTTGGGGGTTTGAGTTGTTGTCGATATCTGCACCTAAGCCTCGTGCAGGGTTTTCGCCTGCAATCCCAGACCGTCTCGCTCCGAGATTGGGGGTCTGGCTTGTTGCGATCTTCCGCCTCTCCCGCGGGTCTTTGGCCTCCCATGCCCGTGCAGGGTTTTTGCGGCAATCCCACACCCCCCCGTCTCACTCCGAGATTAGGGGTCTGGCTTGCGGCCATCTTCCGCACCTCCGTCGGTCTTTCGCCTACGATGCTTGTGCAGGGTTCTGGCCACATTCCCAGACCCCCGTCTCCAGATTGGGGGTTTGGGCTGTTGTCGATATCTGCACCTCCCACAGATCTTTCGCTTCCAAGCCTCGAGGTTTTCGCCTGCAATCCCAGACCCCCCGTCTCGCTCCGAGATTGGGGGTCTGGCTTGTTGCGATCTTCCGCCTCTCCCGCGGGTCTTTGGCCTCCCATGCCCGTGCCGGGTTTTTGCGGCAATCCCACACCCCCCCGTCTCGCTCCGAGATTAGGGGTCTGGCTTGCGGCCATCTTCCGCACCTCCCACAGGTCTTTCGCTTCCAAGCCTCGTGCAGGGTTTTCGCCTGCAGTCCCAGACCCCCCGTCTCGCTCCGAGATTGGAGGTCTGGCTTGTTGCCGTCTTCCACATTTTTTTGGAGGTCCAGAAAGTTTAACCGGCTTTTGGCGCAGCATCCTATGTTGTTTTTAGGGCTTTCGTAGTTTTTGCCGTCTTGGGTTGATGGAGTCTTGCTTCGCGTCCCTTTCACCCCTTTCTCTGTGGTTTCTTTTCGTTATATTTCAGACCACCTTCTCGCACCATCTTTGGTTTGTTTCCATGGCGCGAGATCTGTGTGGTTGTCACCTTTCACATGATCCGCAGTTTGTAGGTTTGCTGCTGTTATCCCAATCTCGAGATTGGGGCTCTGGGTCGGTGCCATTTTACGCAAGTTCCGTTGAATCCTCGCCTCCCATTCTCTGTCCTTGGCTATCTTGTACTGCCAGACCCTCCGGCCTCGCATTGTTTGGGGTCTGAGCTTTTGCGATTTTCTGTTCTTCTGTCCACTTCCGTCCTCTTTGTAGGCTTCAGCTCCTTTTCCGATCCCCTACCATTCCTCTTCTTCTGTGAAACCTGGCTGCATTAGATACACGCCCTCTCGAACCCCTCGCGGAGAGCGGCTATGACGATTACGGAGCCGCTCGGAGATGCTTGGGGGGGAGTGGGTTGACGGCCGCAGTAACGTCTGTGGGCCACCCTCCTCCTCCTCCTCCTCCTTTTAATTTTGAACATACGTCGAAAGGATATAAAATAACCTGAGTCAATTCTTCGTGAATTGCAAAGGGGAGAGGAGAATGCTATCACTAGCATAAGTTGGAGGGACGATGACTCGATAGACTGTCAACTTCAGGAGGAAGAAGAAAGAAATGGGAAAAGGAAAAGAAGGCAGAAGTTTAGCAGCGGTAACTGCCGCTTATTTTTCACTAATCATGTTCTTGTTGGAAGGTGAGGCATCGAAATATACGCCCAATGATTTTTCTTCATGTGAAAGGGGACAGGGGTAGAATCATAGTCGTGACCGGAGCAGAAATAACATAAACTTGGGTGGATCGAGGTTGGGGGAATAGTATGTACGTTGATTGGAATGAAGGCGTACATGTTCACACACGTTCCCAATTGCCTTGAGTGAGGACGAATCCGCGGTAGTGTCCATGGAATAGGACAAGGTGGGACAGGCGGTTAAGTTGGGGGGCGGCACAAGAGAGGAGTACAGTGTCGCCCGCATATTCCAAGTGCCAGAGAGGCGAGGGGAGGTGAAAAACTTCGGAGATTTCGGCATAAAGGCTGTGGCAACTCTGCTCGACATCGAAGAAGAAAGAGATGAGTGAGAACGAAATTAAATGAGTAAGGGGAGAGGGGGCAGCCTGGTCTGATGCCGTTCGCTTGAGATCCGACAGTGGATTTTTGTGATGAATCTCGTAAGATAAAGGTGGGATTTTGGAGTGACATTATGACTTTGCAAGTATGTGGGGGAATGCCTGCATGTTGCAGGGCTGGGTCAAATGCGGTGAGTGCAAGGGAATCGAATGCCTTGGAAGCATATAAAAATAATGCATGTAAACATGTATATGGACGTTCAAAAATTTCTACGAGCCTACGCAGAAAATGGATAGCTTGCGTAGTGGTTAATGTTGTACTGTTCCAAAAGCTTCGTCAGGTTCGAAAGGATGTTGATTGAGTGGAACTTCATTGTACTGTAGCATCCTTGAACTCGGACTACTGCAACCATAGTCAGTGGAGATCTCCTCAAAGTCGCGCTTGCGGGTTTGGGCGTCGTCTTTTGAGAACCGTAGCCATCCTTCGAGCCGTAAGCTTGAGGGTGAGGGATCAAAAAAAAATTAAATAAGGATCAAAAAAAAATTAAATGGAAAGATCAAAAAAAATAAAATAAGGATCAAAAAAAAATTAAATCACGCAAAATACAGCAATTCCTGGGGCAGGGGCATCAAAAAAAAATAAAATAAGGATCAAAAAAAAATTAAATCACTTAAAATGCAGCAATTCCTGAATTTTTCCAATGGAAAACACTGTTTTCCTACGGATTTTCTTGTGTTTCCTTAGGATCTGTCTGGTTTTTGCTCTGGAAAACACGATATTCCTGCGGATTCCGTGGTATTTCCCTAAGTTTTCCTTGATTTTTCGTAGGCAAAACCCTATTTTCCTATTACCTATGGCGTTCGTGTCATTTCTTCAGGTTTTCAGAAGGACAACATATGGTTGTTCCTCGGGAAAAAATCAAATTTTCCTTCCAATTTCACATTTAGGACGGATTTCCTGTTGTAGCTGTTGCTGGTATTCCGCTTCATCATCTATCTTAAACACGCCTCTCATTTGGCGATTCTGGTTCAGCATGTATCTACAAGGGCGGAGACACCCTCATTTGCTGGGGCTTCAAAAAAAGGCATATGCTTCAAAGCAACCCTGCACGGCTTAAAACAGCGGGGGGGTTGGGGGGGGCGCAGCCCCCCCCATTTGCAGAGACAACGTTCACATGATGGGCTTCGAAAACACTCTTTGAATCAAGCTTGCACGTTTCGAAAAGCGCGGCGGCGGGTGTTTTGTTCTTCCGTGCCTGTTCGTGTCTCTTCTTCCGTTAGCATTCTAACCCAATATATATAACATAGTAAACCAGAAGAACGACATAAGATGGTTCGACAACACAAAAATGGTGTGACATTTTCTGACATAACAGAACCTTGCTTCTTATAGCATATAATAGCATACTAAAAATACAACAATACAATATAACGGAAGATGACATAGAACAAAACAACATCTTAGTTTATAGTGTAGTACATTGTAACATAGTACAATACAGTGTGTATATTTACAACATAATATGTAGTATATTTTATAACATTAGGTTACATTATGTTATATTATGTTACGGTACATTACGATATTATGGTAAATTCGATTGGACTATGTAGTATCCTGTTGCTTGTATCTTTGTTTCTGCGATTATTTCATATTCTTTCTCTTTCGTCTTCTCCAACTTTGCTTTTTTATTCTGGACTTTCTTTTTTCTCTCGTTCATTTCTTTTCTTTCTTTCTGTTGTTCTTTCTTTGTTCATCTCATACTCCATTCCTTTCTTTCTTGCTTTCTTTCTGGTTTGATTTATTTCGTTCTTTCTTTGGTTCGTTCTTTCTTTCGTTCTTGCGTTCGTTCTTTCTCTCGTTTTCGCTTTCGTTCTTTCGTTCTCTCTCTCGTTCTATCTTTCTTTCTTTCTGTTGTCCTTTCTTTCGTCCTCTTTAGATACAGCAATTTGCCTACGTTTTCCTTGATTTTTCGTAGGCAAAACCCTATTTTCCTATTACCTATGGACCTATGGGGTTCGTGTCATTTCTTCAGGTTTTCAGAAGGACAACATATGGTTTTACTCGGGAAAATCAAATTTTCCTTCCAATTTCACATTTAGGACGGATTTCCTGTTGTAGCTGTTGCTGGTATTCCGCTTCATCATCTATCTTAAACACGCCCCTCATTTGGCGATTCTGGTTCAGCATGTATCTACAAGGGCGGAGACGCCCTCATTTGCTGGGGTTCAAAAAAAGGCATATGCTTCAAAGCAACCCTGCACGGCTTAAAACAGCGGGGGGGTTGGGGGGGGCGCAGCCCCCCCCATTTGCAGAGACAACGTTCACATGATGGGCTTCGAAAACACTCTTTGAATCAAGCTTGCACGTCTCGAAAAGCGCGGCGGCGGGTGTTTTGTTCTTCCGCGCCTGTTCGTGTCTCTTCTTCCGTTAGCATTCTAACCTAATATATATATAACATAGTAAACCAGAAGAACGACATAAGATGGTTCGACAACACAAAAATGGTGTGACATTTTCTGACATAACAGAACCTTGCTTCTTATAGCATATAATAGCATACTAAAAATACAACAATGCAATATAACAGAAGATGACATAGAACAAAACAACATCTTAGTTTATAGTGTAGTACACTGTAACATAGTACAATACAGTGTGTATATTTACAACATAATATGTAGTATATTTTATAACATTAGGTTACATTATGACATATTATGTTACGGTACATTACGATATTATGGTAAATTCGATTGGACTATGTAGTATCCTGTTGCTTGTATCTTTGTTTCTGTGATTCTTTCATATTATTTCTCTTTCGTCTTTTCCAACTTTGCTTTTTTAGTATGGACTTCTTTCTGTCTTTCGCTCGTTCATTTCTTTTCTTTCTTTCTGTTGTTCTTTCTTTGTTCATCTCATACTCCCTTCCTTTCTTTCTTGCTTTCTTTCTGGTTTGATTTATTTCGTTCTTTCTTTGGTTCGTTCTTTCTTTCGTTATTGCTTTCGTTCTTTCTTTCGTTTTTGCTTTCGTTCTTTCGTTCTCTCTCTCGTTCTTTCTTGCATGGCTTTCTTTCTTTCTTTTGTTCTTTCTTTATTTCTTTCGTTTGTTGTTTCTTTATTTCTTTATTTCGTTCTTTCTTTCGTTCTGTCTTTCTTCCTTCCTTTCTTTCTTTCTTTAGTTCGTTCTTTATTTCTTTCTTTCCTTCTCTCTCTCTCTCTCTCTGTCTTTCTTTCCTTCCTTTTTCCCCTTCCTTTCGCTGATACCCGTTTAATTTTTTTTTGATCCTTATTTAATTTTTTTTGATCCTTATTTATTTTTTTTTTGATCCTTATTTAATTTTTTTTTAACCCCTATCCCTAAGCTTGAAGGGTGATGTATTGTAAGGAGACGCCCCTGGGCATGCTCGGTCATTCTTAACGTGCACCGCACTGCGAATTCCATCTCCTCACATCTCAATTCCGGATCCTGGAGACGGAGCTTAAACATGTTGTGCTCCTCATCATCCATCTTGGCCTTTTTGGGCCACCAGGGTTCTGGTCCTCCTCCTGGCTGTCCTTCGCTCATTTCCATCCCAAAAACACTGCCAGATGAGAGGGGTCCAGCTTCCTCCTTGACTGTCTGCACCGGTCGAGCTGCTCACACTTCTCATTTGCGGTTGTCTCTGAGGCTTCGTCGGGAATGGGTCAGGAAACCACAGTTGTAAACAATTGGATCGCTGGAAAGACCGTGAAAAACTGCCCGAAATGAGCATGACACAACTGACACATGCAATGTGACCGTCCGCTTCTGGGGTCTCTTTCGGTTGGACTGGTCGCTGGTGCCAAAACCTTATGCTTACTATCCCACCTCTTGATCCCACCTTTCAATGATCCCTGGACAATGGACCTTCAACGATGCTCGGGGTAGTTTTTTGAGTTGTCCTGCACTGTCTGGGGTCTATACCATGCCAGCACACTTCTGCAAAAGTCGCTGTTTTCTCCCAGCTTCCGCGTCCGATGCACTTGGAGCCGAGCAACACCACCTGCGAGGCATAAACTCCCAAGGCGATGAGAAAGGCTGTCAGCATGTTGTCGTGCGCCATCAACAAGGTGATCCCATGACCAGGAGAACGCAGGATGTCGATGACCTCCTGAAAGAAGTGCAGCGTACACAAACAGACACACATCCCTTGTATTGCTATGTGTGTACAGACATACATAAATACATATATGCATATGCATATATATATATATATACACACACATGTTTTTCATTTTCTATGTACATATGCTTCATACGTGTATTTATTACATATTTTTACACGCACGTGAATATGCGCAGATCGGTTCACATGCATCCCCGGAATGTACAAAAACAATAACCACATGTCTGTGTGCGCGTACCCACATGCGTATGTGAAATTTTGCATTAGCCAACTTCGGTCCGTCAGCCCGCCTGCAGCAGACGCCCAGCGCCCAGGCGCAAGAGCTCACAGTTGGAGTACACAGCAGCCTGCCCGCGAAGGAAGAAAAAAACCTAAGGCTTCAGTGACTCAAGGCTGACTTGATCGCTGTGCCTCCCGCGAAGCTTGATACTGCTCCACAAGGTGAACAAGGTCCCAGTCCATACCTTGAATTTGTCCAACGGCTTCTTGATGAACACAAAACGGCTTGAAGTCGAGCACCACACTCCTGAGAGCGACGGTGTTTCCGGCTGCGTATCAGACACAGGACAGACCAGCCACTTGTTAAACGTTTAAACTAGTCTCGCAAGAGTTCAATCAAAGCTCATAGGGTCATCTCCAATCACTGGAACTAAAGTTTTCTCCAGCTTGTCATGAAGTGATTTTAGATGTGTGGCGCTCGCCTTGGCCAAGGTAGCTGCGCGGCCTTCCGCGAACTGGCGTGAGCGGCCATCATAGTTGGGCAGCAGTGTCTGCTCTGCTGGCGCACGCACTTGGATTCTTGCAACAGACGGTGTCTCCGATGTTCTTTGTGTTGAGTCTTCAGGAGAAGCACATCCAAAACCGAGTAGCACACAAGCAGCTGATTGGATTGTGCGCGGAAAGTCCTTGGTACAGTAAGGACAGGAGGCTGTTATGGACAGGGCTAAATTGGAGCTCAGAGTCAGTACTGAAAGCCCGGATATGGAAGTCGCCATAGCGTCTTCGCAGCTCGGCTCCGGCACTGCGGCACTGCTGAAATCCAAGCCTTGTCAGCTGGCCGAGGTTGCCTCGTTATGCAGAGGCATATGCGTAAGTAGGCTTCTGTTGGCCTTGCACTAGCCAGCTTGTGCAGTCATGACTCCATCTCCCACAAACTGTGCATACGCATTCTTCCCACTGCCGCTGGATCTTTCCACGCTGACTCTGCTGATGTCAAGGAGCTCGTGAGCCGCTGGGAGCAGAGCCGCCCACTTGGGACTAAGATGTGAAACGTCGAGCTGGCCTCGTGTCGACTTCCCCCAGCTCTTCCGACTCGGCTGCACGGCTCTGAGGCTTAGCCAAGGCAACTAAGGAGCCGAACTTGTCACGAACAGGCGTGCGGTCTCCATGACGCATCAAGACAACCACCTGGCCGATGCTCAGCGTGTGCGTCCACTGGCTCACGACATTGAATGCAAGTCGCTGTTCAATGTCATCCGACCACTACCACTGCTCCTAACACCTGCTCGTTGCAGGTCTTGCCTGCATCGGATTCTTCGCAGGCGGAGGCGGCTTCAGTGTAGAGTCAAATGCAGTGATGGGGTTCTCGTCGAGCCTACGCTGACAATCAACTCCGATCTAATCCTTTGCTGGTGGTGGTGGTGGTGGTGGTGGTGGTGGTGGTGGTGGTGGTGGTGGTGGTGGTGGTGGTGGTGGTGGTGGTGGTGGTGGTGGTGGTGGTGGTGGTGGTGGGTGGTGGTGGTGGTGGTGGTGGTGGTGGTGGGTGGTGGTGGTGGGTGGGGGGTGTGGGGTGGTGGTGGTGTTGGTGGGGTGTGGGGGTGGGGTGTGGGGTGGGGTGGCGGTGGGGGTGGCGGTGGGTGGCGGTGGGTGGCGGGGGCGGCGGTGGGGCGGCGGGTGGTGGCGGGGGCGGGGGTGGCGGGGTGGCGGGGTGGCGTGGCGGGTTGGCGGGGGTGGCGGGGGCGGCGGCGGCGGCGGCGGGGGCGGTGGCGGTGGCGGTGGCGGTGGCGGTGGCGGTGGCGGTGGCGGTGGCGGTGCGGTGGCGGTGGCGGTGGCGGTGGCGGTGGCGGTGGCGGCGACGGTGGTGGTGGTGGTGATGCAGAAGCTGTTGCTGTTGCGGTTCTTGGGGCTGGTAGCCCCTGAAAGCCTAAACATTACCACCCTTAACCCTAAAAACCCAAACTTAACCTTGGAAGCTAAGTCCGAATCGTGAAACTAAAAGCCTTAAACCCAGACGCAAACCGAAAAACCCACCAGCCCTGAAAGTTCTGAAGCCCCAAAAGATCGAAACGTAAAGACTCGGTTCCCTTGGCCTACTGATGTTAAAAATTCCCAAACCCGAAATCGTTAAACCTTTGAAACCGCAAACCTGCCTACTGATACAGCCCCAGATGAGCGCCTGAGAACCCTCAAGCCCTAAACCGAAACTCTGCTGGGCCCTGCTTGCCTGTCGATACCACAATCCGTAAATCACATAACCGCCAAGTCCTCAAGGTCAAGACCTTAAACCTTGCAACCCACGAGCCTCCACCCCAAACCTTGGCCCTAAATTGCAGAGCTTGATTCGGCTGGGTGCTTGAATCACGGGTGCTTACATATCCTTGTACCGCTGACATGCTTGTATCAAGGATGATTGTGATTGTTCGCGATGCATCAACAATCCCAGAGACGGGCTCTCGGAACACAAAATGAATCCATGAATGCCGAAGGTGCATCTTGTGGCGAAGCGCACGTCCTTGCTGACTATCTTCGTGCGTAGCATCAGAAGCCAGCACCCGCTTCAGGCCCATTACATCCACAGAAGCATGCACCCACTTTGTGTATACTTCTGGCAGCAATGCTTCAACAGTAGATTGAAGGAGCAGAGGCTCGAGCTGCTTGAAAGGCTTCGAGCAAGATTAGGATCACCAGCATTGCTGTGACGTGAGGTGCCTTTCACGCTTGGGTCTCTCGCTACAGGCTGACAATGTTCTGCCTGCGGCGTCGCATCCCTTACCCTCAAGAGCTTCTCTATGCAGATTGCCGCGTAGGTATGCACCTCACAGCTCGCGCGAACCGAGGTGCTGAAAAGTGTGGCAAATCACGAGCTAATCTTGAAGAAGAGCCTGAGCCTGAGCTTCCTGCCACTGCACTTTCAGAGGTGATGTGGCTGCCTCAGCCAACCGTAAGGCAGGACAGGCTGTCAGGAAAAGACCGGGACACCAAGGCTCTCACAAATAGCAGGTAAGACTTGGCCTGCGATCAGTGTCTGCTGCAGTATGAAAACCGCACGGCCGGATGCCCCCGAGCCCCGAGCCGACTTGTTCTCTAGGGAGCTGATTCCTAAAGACGGTCACAAACCTGAACGAAACGGAAAGTGCGCCAGAGCATCACAAGTGTAAAACATCGTAAGTCCCTGACTTCAAGCAGGAAGCTCGCAGAACGGGTCGCTGGGACTGCACAGACAACTCGATCAGCATTGAATTGTATGCAGGACTTCAGGATACGATGTTTTTGCACTGTCGCTCTCTGCAGTGGAAACCCCACCAAAGGCTCCGCGGTCAGCTCTGGCGCCACCAAGGATGTGAAAAAGTCAAGCCTTTGTGGCAACTGCGACACCCAAATCTTACACACTTTGATGTGCAGAACTTCGTCCAGTCACTGAATTAGGTACACGTCCGCCCAGAGCTTGGTGCTTTTGCAAGTTTCGCCTGTCTGCCCGCAAAGCAGCTGCATGGATCTGCCAAGACTGTTAGTGCAAATGTTGTCGGCTGTCGTTATGTCGTTTCTCGGCTTAGCTGTTTGGTAGAATGCGAGGAAGTCAACCGGCGCTGGGTACATATTTCGTATCCATTACGCAAGGCCTCACGCCTGCGTGCAATGTGGGCAAGACACTTCTAAGGAATACCTCCAGCGCTTCGGCAATTGCTTTTGTGGTTCCTACTGTCGTGCATGCCTTTGGGGCACCCAAACCACCTTCCTCCCGCTTCACAAGAGCGACCACTTGAGTTTGGACCAAGGCGAAACTCAACCTCGTTTAGCTGATGTTGGAACAAGTCCAGCCACACCATTCCGAAATTGTCTTGCCGGCATGGCGCAGGCTACACCTGGTATGCACTTTGAATGGTCGCCGTCGTGCAGTTTGTGGAATGCTGAAGCAATCCACACCAATGCAGCAGCTGTTCCATTGTCTGCTCCTCTTCTTTTCCGTCAGAGTTTGAGACACGGCCAGAATGGTTGCTGACTCTTCTATTCCACGCTGTTTAATCATGCCGCGCCACAACTCTTTGAGTGGTTGAGTGCACCGGTGGAGGCGAAGCCCCGACAAAGCTGCTCTAACCACTTCTTCGCTCGCACCCGCCCTGCTCTGTAGCTGAACTACATGGCTTCTTCGCCCTCAGACTACAGATAGCGGCGTGGCAGGCCCCAAGTTGGTTCAAACATAGACCCACACGCAGGTCCAAAAGGGGTTAGCAGAATCCTTGCCCCCATGCAAACGGAGCACGTCCAGCAGATCTGCGAAATTGCCGTTCGGCCAAGGCACACATTGACGTTCTGGTTAGTCACCGTGACGCCTGATGACAAAAAGAGTGGCTGATTGCAATTGCTGCAAAAACTCATCTTGTGCAATCGCTGGGTGGGTTCTTCACAGGCAGGTTGGGGGTTGTTTGGAGTTCTGACCCCCGGTCTGCAAGGCTATGGCTTCTGAAAAGGCTCATCAAGATGCATCACGTTTGGGTTCCGGAACCTTTCTTAGAGACGTCGCTTCCCCTACTCTACTGTCCATTGTCTGACTTCTCTTGCGCTTTGAGCACGGCAGACAGCGGACATTCTCAGTTTGTTGACCAAGTCTTGCAAGCGGTTCGTACATCACTTGGCTGTACCCATCCCAGATCCTGCCTTCTCTGTGGGTCTGCTCCCGCACCGCCATGGCTATGCAGAGGAAAATGCAAGCATCCTGACAAAACCCCGAGCACACACACCCTGCGGTGTCACCTACTAGCTCTCCTTGAAGCGCTCTGCTTCTCCGGCACCAGCCGAAGCAGCCTGTTTCTTGTCCACGCTTCAGGAGGTATATGGTGGAATGCATATGAAAGCCATACATAAATGAGATCCCTCACTGCCTTGGACATCAGCGCTTTCACGTAGCCGATCAGGATTTCGGTCACCTGCCAGCTTAGGCCTTCACAGATTCCGCAGACACATGTGGTGGCCTTCGCTTCATTGAGCCGGCCCATGGCCTGTCCAGAACGAGAGGTTTCTGCCCGCTCCTTCACTCCAGCGGGCGCGCGCGCGCCTTGACCAAGTCCATGGAACTTCGTCTCCTGGTCTCCTGCGCATTGGCCACATCTCCATCCGCGACGCTCCGGTCTTAGCCGAGTCGACTGCCTGGTCAGCTGCTTCCATGTCCCGGCGCACATACCTTGGCGAATGGATACGAACTGCAGAATCGGCAGAGAACTGCTTTCCACACGAGGCCTCGGCTCTAGCGGATTGTCTTCAAAAAGCTCGACATCTGAGTCTCGAAGCAGAACGTTTGGAAACACAACCTGGCAAAGAAGCACATCCAATCCATCTTTTCGCGGTGCAATTGCACTTGCACAAACCCGAAGCCGGAATCTTCCACCCTAGCAGAGCTTTTTTCCCGCTTCATTCATCTCTCTAGCTATGTCGCCAGCTCTGACTGCCCAACTGCACATCCGCCTGCCTTCTCACAGATGCCGGACAAGACATTTGGGTCCTTCCACCGGTCATCATTCGAGGTGAGAAATTGGAGTGAAGCTAGCAGGGCCTCAAATGGAGACTGAGGCCAGTGAGTTGCCGCGGTAGACCTGGGTCCATCCAAAGACCCGACAGCTGGGCCACATAAGTCACAGGGCAAGACTGAAGTGCCAGGCCGCTGGCGACAGAAACTGGATTCCCTTGGCCACCAACTGATCGTTCTTCTCCTTGGGCCGGCCACGAACCATTACGATGCATCAGCAGATATCAGTTGCTCTGTGTTGCACTCCTGCTGGTCTAGACCCACGAGTAGACTCCAGACCTGACCGCAAGTTCATGGCGATACCCCCCACCCCGGACCTGCAAGGTCTTTCCCTGCCTCCTTGACACAAGGGAGCAAGAAGGGCATAAACCTAGCCATGCACAGCACACGCAGATCAAGGCGGAAGCAAGCCGTACACTTTCAGTTCATCGGCTCATGGGCAACAACAGCTTGAGGCCACAGCTCCTCCTGATATTTATCCTCAGTCCGCGTCACTGGTGCTTCACGGCTTTTTCAATGTTCTGCCGCGCTCAAGCTGGTGAGATTCTGAATCTGTGATGAGCATCAGCGTAGAGCACGAGACACTCACAAATGGCGCCTTTCACCTGCGCTGAGGGAATCTTCAGGCCCAGATGGCTTTCACGTTTTGACACACTCCCTGACCTGCTCAAGGAGCCCCTGCTGCTCTTTCCCAGCCACGGCCTTCAGCAGAGCGCTTTCCAAACACCCAGCTGAGACAACCTTCCCCCTTCCCCTGCCCACGTCACGATGCCAGGGAAGCCCGTGTATCACTTCGTCGGGAAAATTGGGCCTGGGGCCTGAAAAATTGGGAAAAGGTAGCGAGCCTTAAGACTGCCAGAAACAAGCCTGCCAAGATAAACTGACCAAGTGATGATACATTATGCAGAGAGAGTCCTCGGGCCACATGTACTTCAATATACTGCAGTTATATCTCAAACTTGTCCTGACAAACAACAGAGAACACTGGACCGCGCCGGAAGAGCTCGGCACAAGGTCGGACACCCCGACACCCCTTTCAACAACCTTCTCCATTTACACCGAAAATGCATGCGAAATTGCGTTATTTCCTGGCTTTTCGTTACGACGAATGACGGCCAATGACTCTAACAGTTCAACCCACCTACCTCATGCTGAAACTTCAGCAGCTCCAGAAAACCTCGGAAGTAGTCCTGTAGGGATGTCCGAACAATGCTGTGATGTCTTTGCGGCTACCGACCAGCACATGTCCTCCCTGTGATCCTCAAAGAACTCAGGGAGGTCTATCACGTTCAGCGAGAAGAACGCACCTTGGCAGTTGAACGAGAACGAGCTAACGAGTCTTACGACGAATTCGCGACCGAACTGTAGGTCCCGGTCCGATGGTGGCTAAAAGGAGCTCAAAATGAGCAATCAGCCTTGAAGCTCATCATGCCAAAGGAAGCAAACGCGTACTCGTGAAGAACTGACTGAGAGTCCCTCTGATCGGCCGCTAAACCACCTGCAAGAACTTGCCTGCAGGTTGCCTTGGTCATTGATTACAGATAGCAAACCAACCGCGCGTCGGAGCGGTTTTTGTTCGCACAGGTATCTGTCACCAGTGTGGCATTTGACCGCCGAGGCGGCCGAGGCATCGGCCGTGAAAACTGCAAGGTGGGTCTCTTGAAAGCCCTCCACAGTGTACCTTCCAGAAGTTTCACAAGGGAAGGCACACGACTTCACCCTCGACTGGTCACTTCCACGAGTCCAATAGCAGGCGCACTTGACTTCCCGGAGTAGATCTTCAGATCTTGCCTGTGCTCGAAACCTTCGGTCTGAAACGGAAGGATACTGAGACTGCTGCACAGCTGTTGACGCAAGAACACAGCTTAACCAGCTATGCTCAAGGCTTGAGAAACACAGTGTGTGCTGTCTGCATCGTTCCCTTCAGAACGGACATGTCCTGCGTCTCAATCGAAGAGAGCTCAGGCATGACAAGTTAGACAACACCGAGAACGTCCTGCGATGTTTTCAGGTGCTGCACAATCTCCGGCAACAGCGACTGCCACTCCTCAGCGCATCGAGACAAGCCTATGCAAAAAGGCACCAAAAACTCTGAGCCTTTGAGACAAGGACTGCAGGGTAGTCAGTGATGGAAATCTCTTCCAAACCAGCAGACAACTGGACCTCGATGTTTGCCAAACAAGCTGCAGGAAGAACTCGATTGCAAACTGACATGAGCACTTGGAGAAAGTCAGCTATCTCAATGACACACTAGCTCTGTCATTGGCATTTGGAATGCTCTCGTCGCAGCTGCACAGTTCAGAAAATCCTGCCTGCACCTGTTTCGGTGCTTGAAGCATAAGTGAAAGGATATGCTGCTTGATGGCCTCCGTGGGTCACACCGTGCATCTCGAAAACAAGGACAGCAACTTCACGAGCGCATGCAGACCAAGATTTGGCGACCGGCTTGTCTGTCGGAAGCTGAAATGCCACCAGCACCTTCGACGCACCTCGAAGGCTCGATGAGTACTCTCGGCTTCGGAATGGAGCAAAACATGAACACCCTAGTGCTCTGCAAGTCTGATCCTCTGCAAAGCAACTGCTTTCCGAGATCGCAGCCACTGTCGCCGAATATAGTTCTTGAAATAAATCGCTCCGGCTTGCCTGCATCATGTCAGCCATCCGCATCACGCCGAATCCAACATTTCATCTACAGATTTCCGGCCTAGCAGCCGCTTCCACACTGCCAGAACGCAGGAGCTCTAGAAGAACCAATCCAAACCTGTCTCCAAATGGGAACGCACGAACATGTCATCGGAAAGTTGAAACGAAACCACTCAAAGCTGGTGCGCGCCCAGGCTGCACTTCGGCCGATCGCAGCTGTTGTTCAGCAGCTTTCATGGCCTCCGTAATTATTTGCACTGCAACATGCATCAGAACATAAGCACTGGAAATCGAGCCATGTCGATATCATGATTTACCGCCTGCATGTTTCCTGCCACCGTCTGCGTCAACAGCTGCGCCAACTGCCCCATCTGGGCAGGACTGACCGCCATTCCTGCATGCGCCAAGCACTTGTAGCACACATCTCGGGGTGATAAAATTCAACAACCGTTGTTATCGCAATCATTTGATGCTTGTACCCCTCAAAATCATTTCCTAGTCAAGCATAACAAGACATGCTTCAGCTGCCTGGTGCTGCTCTGCGCAGACTTGTCACATTTGCAAGGCGGGTGGGCTCACTGCTATGTACCCAGCACAACTAAGAAGCTTTGTCAAACAGAACTCTCCCGTCAGTATCGTGGTTGGCAACCATGTCATATAACTTCCTGCAACCAATGAAAACTAACTGAAGCAAATCATGTTCAATGCCCGGACGTTGTCACGGCGAGGCTGCGGCATGGTGTCGCAAGCTCTGTTGCTGCAAACATGACGCACGCCCGCTGGCTATGACGAGACGCTCGAAAACGATGGCGGAATCGTACCCGACAGCAGTGCGATTGGTGCACCGACATCAACAAATTGCAAAGGCTTTCGACATTGTCAAAAACGGTTCCATTTCCCTCGGTTCCAAACATTCAGTTTTGCGGCCGGGTAAGATGTAAGAGTTTTTGTTTAATTTGCTGTCGTTGTTTTTGCTGCTGTTGTCCTTGGGGTGCTTGTTTGTTTGCTGTCGTTGCGGGGGGACCACTCACCACTCGCTTCCAGGGTCCGTGCAACAAAAGCAAAAACACAACGCAACTACCGCAAAAACTGCAAGAGTCTTCTGTTTTGCCGTCGTTGTTGTTTTGCTGTCGTCCCCGAACCTCGTTTCTGCTGTCGTTGCGCGGGGGGCGTTTTTGTTGGTGCTGTCGTGTCCGGGGCACCATTGGTTTTCGGTTGTCTTGCCGCGGCCGCGGCTCACTCACTCACTGGCTTCCTGGGTCCGCGCAACGACAGCAAGAACACGACATAAAGCAACTACAGCAAACAAGAAATCAAGCGTTCCTTCTATGGGCAGGACATGACAGCGGCATCAGAATAAAACCCTGTCAACGCCGCTCGCTCGTAGAATCGTAGGACATGCATGGTCACACTGCCATGCACTGCCTTGGCCGCATCCATGGGACTTCTACCATGCCACAACCAACGCAACAAGTTACATGACATACCACTAAAATCCAAAAATGACCCAGGTCCCAACATATGGTCATGCATCCCGACGGGTTAAGTCCGGATGCCACGTCCACGACATCATGTCCAAGTTGAAAGTTGCAAAAATGAAGGCTCATACACTCCGCAATCCATCAGTTCGATCAGTCAACGACGAGAGCGCGCGTGTCCAAGAAGGACTGTTGAGGCCACAGACTGTCGACGCGAATTATGTATCATGTATGCCTGCATTAAGCACTGTCACGACATCAAAAATGTCCATCCATCATCCATCCATCCATCCTTCCATCCATCCACCCATCCATCCATCCACCATCCCTCCATCGATGCATCCATCCATCCATTCATCCATACATATCCACTTACCCCTACATCCATCCAGGCAGGGCAATCGAAGAATTGCTGCAGGCCCGGGACAACGAACCATATCTACTACCCATCCCATCTCGTCCCTCGCAGCCGACGCTTCCCGGGACCGTGTGGCCGCAGCGCCGGTGCATGGTTGCGACAAACCACTTATCATCCTCGTATGCAGCACACGTGGCCCCCAATGTTGAAAGACACGCATGGCAGCGGCTTTTTGCGCTTTGCTCGTCTTGGTGCCTGGTGCGTCTGTCGGACGCGAAGCTAAGATCTTTGAAGTTCTGTTCGCGTGGTCATCCACGTCTGTTTTTTTGGCGTCGGAAGATGTCGTTTAGTGTGCTCGACGGGAGCCGCAGACATTTGCATAGTAGACAGAGTGGGCAAGTTCAATTAGCCGGAATGGTGCGCCCGACCGGACCCCTTATCGTGGCGGCACCATCTCATCGGTGGGGCATGCTTGCAGCTGCTGCAATGCATGGCACTTGGTTCGGCAGCATTGTGCCTTGGGCGCAGCTGTGTGCGCAATATGGGTTTCCTCCAACCTTGCGCCCCACACAGCTGTGCAGCCACCAAAACGTGGAAACCGAGCTCTTTTGTGCGTCAGTCAGCACCTTCGCGGCCGCGGTGTCTGCCTGCCTCTCCGGGGAGGAAAGCTCTTCCGCCCAACTCGTGCCGCGTGGGGGGAGTGACCGGCGACCAGCCGGGCAGGGCAGCCCTGTATGGTACGCCCGTTTCTGCCTGTCCTGCACACACCCAACCCTCTTATGGGTGTGATGGAGCTTGGCTCCACAATGTGCCTCACGGTCTACAAGTTTCGTCCTCACCAGGGAAATGGGACTTCGCCCCCAAAGCATGCAGCGCCTGCCCATGTTGTGGTTGGGGTTTTATCCAAACTCCAACCTCAAGTTAGGGTTGGGGTTATTAACTTGTTGCCCCCCTTGGACCCGGCCTTGGGGTTACAACCTCGGTTCAACCCCAACCCCCAACCCGCCCTCCCACGGTTGCTCTGAGGAACCGAACAGACAAGTAGAAGCCCCTGACTCCTTATCCATGCAGTTTGTCTGCTTGGGCTGAGTTTGCATGTGGGTACCAAAGGCGGCGCAATGGGTTTGGGTGAACCAACTCTTAACCTGAGACTGGGGGTCCCCAACCCGAACCCTGGCGTCGTCAACCCCAACCCCAAGTCGGGGTTGCGGTTGGAGTTGACTCGAACCCTAACCCTGGCGGTTCCGCGGTGAATCCGAACCCTAACCCGACGCAAAGGTTAGAGTTGGTGTTAACTCAGACCCCAACCTCAGATTAGACTTGGGGTTCAACCTCAGGTTCGTTGTTGGCTTCCCCCTTCGAGCCGACCGCCTTCAACCCCTTGAAGCCGCAAAAACCTCAGAAAACGTCTTTTCCTCGCAAGAAAGACAGAGCCGCGCGAATACGTTTTAAGTGTGTTAATCTTTCATTAGCAAAAAAATATGAATAATCGAAAAGACACGCCTTGTTGGCCCCTCCTGGCGACTTCCAACTCTTTTACCCCGCTCTCTTAAGCCGCGAAGACCACACATTACAAGGAAAAAGCCACCACCGCCTGGTGGGGTTAAAAGCGAATCACAATTCAGAATTAAGAATGGAAGAAAGTCTTCTCCAACAAACAAAAAGTCTTCAAAGACTTAAGAAGACAGCCACACGAAAATGCTACAAGGGTGGTAAAAGCAAAGAAATTACGAAAGGTCTCTAACGAAGACGATTTCAAATAGATAACAATAGCTTCCGTGTGCTAAAACATCAAAACATCCTTTCCAAGCCAGAAAAACGCGAACCCAAATCCAACTTCAGACAGAGTTCGATTTCACTTTCGGCCACAACAGAAGAATCTCACACATCGGAAACCACGGAACGAACGTTAGTCAAATCTGGAACACCTCCACGAAAACAGCCATCATCCACTTTGGAATTTCTACCGTGAACAAGTCTTGTTATCGGCAGTTGCCGCACTCGGTCTCCAAGAGTCTTTCGAAAACCAAACAAAAAAAACTGCACAAACAAGACCGCAGTTAAGCACTGCAAAACAAATGTTTTGCTTAGACTCTGCAATGACCGCATGAAACTTGACTAAGCCCCACTTAGAAGACTCTAATTCTAGAAGGATGGAAAGTACTGGCCGCACTATCATTCGTCAGGCTGTCGGTTCCGCTCGAACTCTTCTCTAGGTTCGAGTTGAGAACTTTCCAACCTCAGATTGGATGAGAGTCATGAAAACGTCGAGATTCGAGTTCGAGCAACATAAAATCTGGGAAATAATTCGAGTTTTCGTCCAATTAAGCAAATTACAAACACTTCTAATTCAAAAATACTGGTGTTTGAATTCTTGGATTCAAACATCTGATCTCTGCTTTCTCTCTTTCTTTTCTTCTAACCGCTTCAAGTTCCTTCAATTAAAGTGATCTTCCCTTTTACTGCTTTTCCTTTATTTTCTTCACTTTATAAACCCTTTAAAACGATGTTGTTGCGGGCTTCTACTTCCTTAGTGTTCTGTCTTTTTCTTTGTTCGCTTTTTCTCTAAAGCAATTTGTGGACTTCTCCTTCTTTTGTGTTGAAGACTTTCACTTTCTTGTCGATTCTTCCTTGCTTTACCTGTTTCCCTTTCCTAGTGTTCCTAGTGTGGAGAAAGAGGGAGAGAGGGGAGAGAGAGGACGGGCGAGTACAAAACGGAGAAAAAAGAGCAAAGAAAGGAGGGAGTTTAGAGAAAGAAAGGGAGTGGAGAACGCAAACCAGGTCGTTTGAACAAAGCCTGACTTTTCTAGTGCACATCCTTGAAGTGCCAGATGCCAGTCCAGGGCGCCATCTTTCCAAACAGAAAATGGAGTCATGGCACTATTGCCCTCCAAGGTCCCAGTAGACGTCTTTCCGTGCTTGTCTGACTTCGTGTTTATAGCTTTACTCTTTTGGACTGCTGTTCCAAGAGAGCGCAGCTGAGTCTTGGTGTAGACTTTTACTGCGGCCGGACTGTATCAAGCAGAGGTTTGCCGGCCAGTGTTTCTACCGCTGGGTGACCCAGTCTCTTCTTGTCCACCTCAAAGAAAGATGGTTGGGTGCCATTACAGCCTGTATAGGCTTCCAAGAGATTCCAACTCGTATTATTGGAGTCTTAGAGTTTAGAACTCAGAATTCGAATAAATGTTCTCTCCAAACCCAAAGTTCAAACTTTTGTAAGTAAGTTGAACTCTGTCTCGAACTTTTGAGCTCTCTGTTGAACGGTTCAATTTTCAAAACCCGTTCTGCTACAGAAAACCGCAGCCCTAAACCAAATCCTAAACCCTAAACCCGAGAACGGAAAATGAATGCAGTCCGTACTCGGTCCACTCTTTTCAATGGGATCGCAAAGACCAACTGTGCCGGGCATCGAACGGGTTGACCCGAGTAATGCCTTCTGTGGGGTGGCGACTGTTGCACCACCCCACGAACAAAAGATCTACGAGCGAAGCTATAACACTTGAGTGACGGCTTTGGACTAAGGGAGCGACCAGAAAGGTCCTCCGGGACTGAGAGTCCACGCTACAGCAGAGGCTACAAGCAGGAGGCGATCTGCAGACTACGGCGGTGAAACGATGTGGGGCCATTGGCGGGCCCAGCAGGAAGCACCAAAGTACGTGGTGCGGCAGCGGCGCACTGCCTTGAGCATCAACCTGATGAAGCAATGGCGACCTGAAGGCCTGATAATGCACAAGCGAAGTACCTGTGGCAGGATGGCAGAGGTGCCGCACAAAGTGTAAGCGAAGATGAAGGAAGGATAGCACGTTCCACAAGGTGCCGGGCCTAGAGGAGGCCGGCGTGCACGCAAGCGAAATAAGGTGGGTCGGGCGGGAAATCAAAATTGCGAAGCGACTTCGCCGCAACTTGATCCAAAGTGGAGTGCGGATACACAGAGCTTCCACGACATGTACTGAAGCAAAATGTCGCAGGCACTGGCAAGGCGGAAAAAAGAAACTTTCCAGTTTCCAAACTGAAAAAAGGGCGGGCGTTTTTCATCACAAAACATCAGTGGACAAGTCCACAAGTACGTTCTGCTACAGAAAACCGCAGCCCTAAACCAAATCCTAAACCCTAAACCCGAGAACGGAACATGAATGCAGTCCGTACTCGGTCCACTCTTTTCAATGGGATCGCAAAGACCAACTGTTCCGGGCATCGAACGGGCTGACCCGAGTAATGCCTTCTGTGGGGTGGCGACTGTTGCACCGAGGGAATTTGCCACCCCACAGCGCGCTCAAGAAGGCCAAGGAAGTGATGTCTGTCGGGTTTGAGCCGAAGTTTGAGCCGAAGTGGAACCCTGAAGCTAAACCGAAGTAACCACGTGAAGTGAAGCGCAGCAGAAAGGTAAAGAGTGTCGTACTGCAAGATGTCGGTCTTTTTGGGCAGTGTGTGGAGACTGCGAACTGGTGAAAGCCTCTGTTGCCCTTTCCTCCTGGGTGGAGTGGGCGGGTACACGAAAAGCTACAACTCCTTGAGAGTACTGCATCGGAATGAAGATGATGTTCGCAAGTCCTCAAGAGTCTTGCCAAAGACTGACTCAAAACTCATCTCGCAAAAAGGAAAGTCTCATAAAATCTCCGTGAAAATTCTCATGTCAAGAAAGTATGCCGCAGACTGCAAAGCATTCAAAAGTCCCACCCAGGCCCGCCCCCCGGCACAAACCCCATCAGACATACTCTAGGTCCGGGGAATTCCGGGGACCGAATAGTCATGTCTGTCGGGTTTGAGCCGAAGTTTGAGCCGAAGTGGAACCCTGAAGCTAAACCGAAGTAACCACGTGAAGTGAAGCGCAGCAGAAAGGTAAAGAGTGTCGTACTGCAAGATGTCGGTCTTTTTGGGCAGCGTGTGGAGACTGATCTGTCGCGAACTGGTGAAAGCCTCTGTTGCCCTTTCTTCCCGACTTTAGAGCAACAGAAAGTGATCACCAGCTCGTCTTGTCCTCAGTCCGCTGCCGCTTGCTGACCTTCTCGCCTTGGATGTACTTTCCGGCAAGTGAAGCTCGAGCATCTTCAAAAGAAGCGCGAGCAGCAACCAACATGTCAAGCAAAGAAAAATCAAGCTCGGACAACTCGAAAGGTATTCGTTTGGATGTTGTGAACTTCCCGAAACGAAGATTCGATCAAGTCATCAGCTTCCACATTCTCCTCGCGGGGTCGCCATTGCAAACGACAAATCTTACCACAAGAATGAAGTCGGGAAACCATCTGCATGTGGACCGCCTGCACAGGCCACTTGTTGCTCAAACCCTTTTCTTGCATCGCAGGAGTAGAACGGTTGTCAGTTCCAGCAGATACGACAACCCTCAAGTTGTCGCGAGCCTCGCTTGCTTCAAGATGTCCGAACACTTGCAAAGCAGCATAGGATGCAAGAAGCTCCGCCGTCGTTGATGCCCACTGGCTTGAGCCGTCAGCCTTAAAGAGCCCTGTCCTTCGCATAGCTTCGTGGTTAGAGGTTGGGGCTCTCCGTTCTTTCAAAGAATCCTCGAATACTAAAACAATCGTAACGTCTTTCTATAAAAGCGAATCAAATATCGTATCTTCCAAATGAATCCAACTGGAATGAATAATAAATGAACATGTGAAAGGAAATATGTCGGGCAATCAAGAGCACTCGGACAACACTTGTTTTATTCGCAGTGGTTGGTAGTCTCGCGGTGCCCTTGGTAGGGCGGATGCATGTTGATGCATCCAGCCCCCCAGAGCTTCCAAAGATGCTTAAATAATTTTTAGATATCTTTAATCATCTTGATTAAACACTATAGTGTCTATTTAAGCATGGTATGTAAATGACAAAAACAATGCTTAATTAAGAAATGTTATTTTCTGTATATGCATCCCAATTATATACATGCATGCGGACGATCGACTGCACGTGTTTTTTCCTCCCAAGGATCACGTGCCGATCTCGATTCGAGGAACTTTATTAGCTGCCAGGAATCGTCTGAGAACTTGACAAGAAACAGCATTCATCGAAAACTTGCCACCACGCCGTCTGCCCAGCAATGCTAGGGTATGCCCATAGCTCTCATCCCTGTAGGTCCAGGTCTTGCTAGGGTTCACCTCGCCCCTGGCCAATTCGAACAGCTGATGGGCTTTAGGTTTAACCCTGAAGAGCTTGTCCACTTCGAAGTAAGTCTCGAGGCTGCCCCAGAGTAAAAGAAACTTCTGAGAAGAAACTCTGAAGACTTCCTTGTCCCAAGCTGCAGTGCTGAGACAGGCATATATGGACTGCAAAGCTTCTGTGCCATGCAACATCGCCTGTTCAGCAGGCTTTGCTGGCGACAAATACTCTGTAGCCAATTCCATGGCAGCACCGACGAGTGCTCGAGCTTCCCCTGCTTTGGCTCTCAACTTGGGGGATTTGATCTTGCCTCGATCCTCTTCACGAAGCATGGTGGGAAGGAGCTTCGGCAATCGATCTTGGACCCCAGTTCTGTCGTAGTATGCCTTGATGTCTTGGTACAGCTTGGCACATCGGATGAGTTTGCTCAGGCCTCGGATCTTCTCACTCTGTAAGTAAAACAGCAAAGACCCAAGCCAGTCGGATGTTACTCCGAGGTCGCAAGCGTGTAAAAAGTCCATCTTGCAGCAAACGGTATTGAATCCTGGGCAAGAAAATAATCTCGACACCAATTTATTCTGCTGCCTCTGGCGCATGAAGAAGTCCATGCTGGAAATGAGAGGGTACCTGAGGCAAAGGCAACTGCCAGGAATAAGCGATCGACTTCAACTGTCTAGCATGCCTCACACGTCGAAATTAAAAGACAATTCTTTCCTGGTGGCGATATTTCGAACCGGTTAATTGACTCCTTAAGTCGACTGTATCATGCTAGGGTATGCCAAAAGATATAAAACTTTGAATCTATCAATCCCAGATGCTTGGCGGAAGTCTGAGTATCAAATTTTTTCAAATCAGCTCGGGGGCACATACACCGCCAACAGATAAACCCCTTCGAACTCCAAGAAGGGAAGCTCAAAACGTCCTTGTAACAGCTCCAATCAGCTCGAAATTCAGCCAGAGCAGCTCTCAGTGGAAGCTTTTTGCCTGCCAAACGTTGTCGATAACTATCGGTTCGATTGAAGGGCATGCCATCGTGTCGGCAGCTTGGCATGCTCCCCGTCGCCAGCTGCTTAAAGGACCACTGGATGATTTCGAATACATCCTCAAAAGTTTGCGATTTGGATACAAATTCTTTTGGAAAGGCCGCAACAGGCAGGCGAAGATTCTGCTGGCCAAAGATGTTCAAAGAAATCGTCTCCAAAGTCATGGATCGGTCGCTGTTGAAAGGCACACCATCGCACCACATCCCCATGAGGAGAGTGGATTCAGAATCCAAGCCCAACTCATCCTCCAAAAAATGCAAGTGGTTCTCCAGGTCAGGCCTGTCAGGCAAGATCTCGGCTTGCTGCTGAAGCAAGGCCTCTGGCGTGTTCACTTTGAGCAGTGAGTGCAAGGATTCGTGAGGCAGCAAAATTGCCAAGGAATACTCTTCAGACGTGTTCTTCGCCTGATTCCAGCCACGAACCTTTGCATGATATAACGAAGGCCATTTCGTGTTTCTGAAACATTTGCGCAAAAGATCCCGATGGGTGTTGCGAGTCTCTGCACGGACCTGTAAATCTTCCACATGCAGTGCCCCGGCTTCCTGTGCTGACCGCAGTACTCGAGCGCTTCGCTCAGAACTGAGCTCATTGTTTAAAAATATGTCGACCATCTCGGACCTGAATCGTTTTGCAGGAGCAACGGCCTGGACATCTTCTGTTGTCAAAGATCTTTTGTTGAACATTGCCGGCAAGTCTCGAAGCGAAGCGAACCCTACAGAACAATGTCTGGACAATCAAAAATTAATCCAAAATACATGCGGTTTTCACATATATACAGTATATATATATATGTATATATTTTTATAAACATACACTGTCTTAGCATATGAATTTACTTAGATCGAAGTAGCTATGCGCACGTGCCTGTGCGACATGGGGCCGAGCCTGCAGAATGTAAGAAGCAACAGAAAGTCTGCAAGCACTCACGGGTCTCATAGCTGCAAACATGCGAGAAGAAGCATTGCATGCACGCATTTTCTACCACTGCGAGGTCAGCGCAGCCTCTCCTGCCAAGGAGCTCCGTCTCAAGGCGAACTTGGAACAACACCTGTACTCCTACCGGATAGTATCATCGAGGGTGATGAATCTCAAGCCTAGGGCCGATCACTCCATCAGGCCATTGACTTTCTTGAGCAAGGCCTTGCTGCCTTTGTCGTGGTTGGCAGCCTGGTCGACGACAGTGTGAAAGGTGGCCACAAGCTCGGTGCAATCGGAAGTAACATCCGCCGGCACACTCTCGGCCTCGTGCTGGCGAAGAACACCCAAGAAGTCCTCGAGAAATGCGATCGCCTGATCGACGTCGTCCTTGCGATTATCCCATGTTTTGTCCCCGCTGTACTTCGTGGAAATCTTGGTCTTCAAAGACTTCAGCTCCTCGTTGTTTTGGGTCAGCTTTCTCTTCTCGGCCACGATCTTCTTCAAAAGATCTTTCGCCAGGGTATGGCTCTGGCTCGGCTGCAAAGCCGGATCCTTGGAACTGGAGCTTGCCGCACTCTTGCCCAACATGATGTCGAGGGACCTCTTGTCCTTCAACTGCAAGTTCTTCATGCCGGAACAATGGCTTCCCAGGGACTCCTCCGTCTTAGTGGCCTGGCGGGCCACCTGGCCTTTCGAGTGCATGTAGAAGTACTTGCTGAGCACCTCGAACTTGGGGTGAATTTTCGTCGATCTCTCATAGCCGTACCGCTTTTCGGCTTCGGGCATCAGCTCTTCCAGCAGATCCTTCTTCATATCTTCCTCCAAGTCGCTTTCATCGATGCCCTCCAGCTTGAAAATTGCCGTCCTGCATGCAGTGCGCATGCATGCTCAATATAATCATCCGTTCCATAGTCGAAGCCTAGAGAATATAATCATAGAATAGACAATCAAACAAGAGCAAAAATCTGACAAAACTGCCACCGAAAATCCGAGTGTACCAGTTCTTGACGGTATCTTCGTGCTCACTGTTGGTATTCACGGTCGTCTTGACCAAATCGTGTACCCAATTACACTGACGGACGCCGAACTGTGAGACCTTGCTCAATATCTCTCTCTTGGTGGCAATGTCCCCCGCCTCGTACTCCTGCCAAGGAGCACGAGTGGAACGAAAACAAGAATCAAAACAACTGGCACGGAAGTGCAAGATGCAGGCGGTCCTCGAGCACTTTTTGGGCGTTTTGTTTCTCTTCGTCCGTAGTTTTTTTAGCTTTGAGCTGATAGCGAAGCCCGGTCAAAGCAGCTGAAATTGTGCCCCGAGCATACCCCAAGCCGCTCGGTGCCGTTGAATCATCGTCTTCCTCGGCCGCATCACCGAGCTCCACCTTGGCAGCCTTGGCTTTCCTCTTGGGGGTCACCTTTTCGTGCTTAACCTTAGCCTTGGCGGCCTTGCTCTTTGCAGCCATGGCCTTGGCCATCCTGCTGTTCTGCGGACCTTTGCCGCCCTTGCTCTGGGCCGGTGCCATCAATCCGGGGAGGCTACAGGAATGCTACCCGATCATATATCGTGAGCTGAGCTCGATCTAAACATTGATTCAGCAGAAAATTCATGCGAAGAGTCGAGAACGGTGGCACACGAGTGCCATGGCATGTTCACTGTTGCACACAGCATGCATAAGTTATTTCATTTTGCAAGACACCATCGCCTTCGCCGGCAGGTCACAGGTCGTCCAAATCATAATCGTTTTCCCACCAATGCATGTCACCACCTAGTATCCTAGCCAAGGAGATGGCACTTCCAGAGACCGAGCGACACTTCAGAAAGTATCTATCATTCCAATAGCCAACATAACGAGTATGCCATTCATACAAGAACTTTTGGAAGCATTGCTCGGAGCAATCAAATGTATCGTGCAGAAACCACCGGGTCGTGAAAAGCCTTCTCATCAGCTGCAAAGCGAACAACGGCAAATGAAGCACAGGTCGCTGCCTCATGCCTCCCATGTGCCAGCTCAGTTGCTGTTTCATCCACAATCGAGCCTTTGCATGGCAGGGCTGGCCTGCAGAAAGTGACAACACGGCTGCCGAACTTGAATCCAAGAACCTGGCTGGGTATAGCTGTCGATGCCAATGCGGAGGAGAATGGTCGCTCTGCGGATCCGCACCTGGGTCGAGGAAGAGCCCGAAAATTTTTAACAAGCTTTTTTTTAACAAATTTTTAACTGTTAAAAAAATGGCTTATGAAAGGAATCCTTTCATAAGCCATTTTTTTACCAGTTAAAAATTTGTTAAAAAAAAAAGCTTGTTAAAAATTTTGGGTGGCTAACCAGAATCTATATCTTCACCCTCACTCCCCACAACAGACCTCAGAGAAAATTGGACACGAATCACAAATGGAACTGGCCTGGGTTCTGATCGTCCATGCTGGGAAGACCTGGCAATCGCTAGATGTACATGCTTGCATGTGTACACGTGAACATAGAAACTCCTACCCAGGAGCAGGACCACTCCTACCAAGGAGCAACAAACTGCAAACGTGCTGCACACCAGCTGGCGACTCCTACCAACAAGCTGCAACCTACGAGCACTGCCGACCCAAACAAAGATGCACACTAGCTGGCGACTCCTGCCAAGGAGTCCTTGTTTTTCTCGTCTCGTTGCGGGAAGATCAATCCGGCCGCAGACACAATGCTACAGCAACAGCTGCCTCAATGCAGCTCATCAGAGTCCTCACGGCCTTGTTCGGTTTCCTCTGCAGCCGGCTGCTCTGCCTGTGTTTCCGCTTGGTTATTCTTCAGGCGCTTGTAGGATTCATCCAGGCCAATCACGTGCTCAATGCTTTCGGCTCCCTGCACCATGGATTGGAAGCTCTGCCAGGTATCCACCAAGCCGGGCTCCTCCTGAGCCTCGTCAGGACCCGCATCCACTGCAGCTGGCTCCTCAGCTGCACCACCGTCCCCCTGACCGGCTCGTTGGCCTGCAATCTGCTTCGCCTCGGCCTGCAAACAGAATGAACATGTGCTTCATGTTGATGTGACAAAAAGTTATAACATATGCACTGAGCATGTACAGAAGCTGGCTCCTACCTAGGAGCATATACCCTGATACCACAGAATTTAACCCAGGCCTCACGGACCAAACGAAGCTTCTTGGAGGATTCCGACGGAGCTCCTCCGACCCATCTGCCCTCCTGCTTCAGAGTCTCAATCTGGCTGGCGAGCCACAATTTTCTTTTCTTGCCTTTGCTCTTCTTGAAAGACTGCTGTTGGTCCTGAGAGGCATAGTCTCGCTGCCATCGATCCGAGCCCCAATAAGCCTGGGATTTTTTATCCATCCTCTCTTCCCACTCATTGTACTTCTGCATGGCATCCTGGTTTCTGCCACTCTGCGGGCCGGCCCTCTCCCAGCTGGAGCTCGACTGCTGATGCTTCTTCCAGCCACGGCCATAGCTTGAATAATCGCCACGGTCCCAAGTATCCTCACGGGTACTTTGCTCATTCGCAGCCGTGCTTTGCTCAGCAGTGTCACCGGCCCCGGTGCTTGGCTCCTCCACAGGAGCTTGCCCATACTGCATATACATGTCATCCTGCACCGGCGGCTCTGCTTTCACAGGCACAAAGCGCCGTTTTTCCACTGCTTTTGCAAACCTCTCCGAAGCAGCACCCTTGGCCTGAAGCCTCTGCCACTTTTGGCCCTCCTCAAGGGCCACTTGGGCTGCCGATGCAGCCTTCTCCGAGCCATAGCTATGCTCCTTCTCCAGCTTTATGGCTGCCCTCAAACCATGCCCCGCCTTGTGCTCCTGGGAAGCGCTTTCCCATGCATGGCGGGCCTCCTCATACTCGGAATAAGAGCTCACTTGGTTTTTCTTCTCCAAGCCGAAGATGAAGGCATTCGCCTCTTCGTCGCTGGACACGACCTCCTCGATCCGTGGCCCGTCGCCTTCCCGAGCAGCCACAACCTGAACCTCCGGGTCGTCGCCCCCTTCCAAGGGGGCATCTGGCTCCGATTCCTCCTCGTCGAGGACGTCTTGGAGTTGTTGCTCAAACTTGTTCTGGTACACACCGTCAGCATAGCCGCTGTTTTTCCACGATGACCAACTCCAGGATCGTTTGCTCGAAGAGCCCAAGGACCCCGACGATGGATCCTCACTCTGAATGGGCCCTCGTGCCCACAAGTTGGTATTGGGCTCCTGCCGCATCCAATACCACTGGCACATAATATTGACGCAGGTCCTCTTTTTAAGGTAGGACCGGGTCCCACATTTGGGACACATACGAATGTCCTGCAGGGCCTCCGGTGCATCCTGCCGCTGCGACTTGCTCAACATAGCTGCAGAGCTACCAGGCTCAAAAAAGATATCGAGCAATCGCAGCTGCACAACCGTCGAATCCTGACTGCTAGCTCCTACCAAGGAGTTTTCTGCACATCTGCATGCCCTGCAAACAGCGATCACCAGCAGATCTAGATCTCACATGCATCTCAAAACATGCACATGCTCCTACCAAGGAGCTAGCATGCACTGCAATTAAGACTGCTGCACAGAAATGCAAACATGCCGTCGCACCTCGATCTGAATTTGAAGATCGACCGGGATCGCAGCTGCTGCCGCCAGACCTGCAGGCACAGCCAAGATTCTCTAACCAAGCTCCTCCCAAGGAGCTCATGCTTGGACTTCTGAACTGCTGGCATGCAGTCAACAAAAAACGACCTACGAACACCTGCACTGGCAGAGCACATGTCCAGATCTCAACATGTGTCTTCGGAACTTAAGCTAGCACTCTGAGGCCCGGACTTGACAAAACAACAAGGAAAACACTCATGCGAAAACGGCTGCAGCAACATCAAGTCAAGCATGTGTGTGCACCAGCAACATGATTCGTCAAAATCTCTGCACTTGCACTATATAAGCAAACGCGAAAATGCAAACTTCTGACAAAAATATGTTTCGTCCAATCCTGCATGCATGCAGCATGTCGATCTTTGCATGTTCCATCCACCTGTACAATCGCTGAAAAACACAATAATCCTATAGCTCGAGGGATCCGCGCCACCCGCACGATTCAGGTCAGGGTTTTAACCGACTGAGCCTTATTCTGCTTGTCTGCCAGAGAATCCCGGCAAAATTTAATGCAGTCACTCCAAGCATCTGCTAAATTGTCGTACTGCGACCAGGAGTACTGGGATCGGCATTCTGTTGGCTTCTTGATCCAGAAAGCCTTGTTCCTCACAAGGACGTCAATGGCGATCCCGTCCGCCAGTCGAACAGTGTAAGAGTGCTTGCCCGAAGCATCGGCCGGTGGCTGAGCCTCTTCTGGCATTCCTGTGATATCATAGCCATTGAACAGGAGTGCATGACTGGCTGCAGAAATTTCAGGCCTCGCCGCCTCGAGCTTTTTGTCAGGACCAGAATCGCTTGCTGCATCAGGAGACTCCTCAGCAGGAGCAGCTTCGGAATCCGGTGCTTCATGCTCCTCCGGGGCGGACGACTGCTTACACTTGCCCTTCGCTTTGGCTTTAGCTTTCCCACGAGCTCGTTTCAGCTTCGGGCCTTTTTTGCCTTCATTCATCTGAGCAAGCCATAAATTCGGCACCTCCGATTGGAATGGCATTTCAGATGGAAAGCGAACCATGCAGAACCCCTCAGGTCCCTCGGAAAGTTCTCCTCTCACTTCTTGGCCATCTGGATTGAGTCTGATGTAGCATCCAGCCGCAGGGTCAAAATAAGCCTTCTTTGCTCGTCCTTTGGTCTTCGCTGCGGCCGGCTCCTCATTTTCCGACGAGCAGATTTCAATTTCGCTTTGGCTGTCATGAATAACACCAAAGTCATCAACATCGCCAGCTTCGTCTGCAAGCTCGACGTCTGCATCTTTAACCTCCTCCTCTGCATCTGTCCGATTAAGTCCATAAACCGACAAAATCTCTTTGGCGGACTCGGGACGTGCAGCCGTCTTGCGTCTCACTCTCCTCTCAGGAGAGAACAACAACCTCTTCTTCAAGTTGGAAGCCCTGGATGTCGATGGAACTTCGTGAGAACTGGCCTTCGAACTAGATGCTTTCGGCGAAGAATTGCAAGTGTCGGACAAACTCTTAAGCCTCTGCACAAGCCTCCAGAGCGCTGGCTCCAATTTCTTGCCAGTGGAGGTGCTCTGCATCTTGCTTCGAGCAAGAACGAAGCAGGAGCAGATCTTCTTGGCAATTTCCTGTGCATCGTCTTTGCTTATCTCAAAGGCCTGCATAATGCCATCCCTCAGGACATTCACTGTCGGCCTCAAAGTTTTTTCCACGATTTCTTGGATCAAGGCCTCATGCTCTTGCACGACTTTTGTATCTGCCTCTCTGAAAGATGCTATATCGATAGGTCGATTCTTGAAATGAATCACGAAGCAGGCGCAAATGTCCTTCGCTGTAGCCGTGTTCTTCGCCCTCGGACTGCTTTTCAAATCGAACTCCATGCTGCCCGGATCTAAACTCTGTATATACTGCAAAACTGGTTTAGGGAAGCTGCAACATGGATCATTATAATCTGCTGCTGCATGTTCCATGCACACTGCACTGCAAGCTGCTTACGATGATCACCTGCAAGCATGCATGCACACACCGCACAATTGTTCGGTTCTCGCAAAAAACATTGCCGCAACTCCCAAAAAATCCATGACAAACATTACATCATGCTCAACGATTCATCGATCGGCCCATGTAGCAAAAATGATCGATCTTGCAAGAAGAAATACCATGCTTAATTAAGATGTGTTATTTTCAACAACATTTACGCAATGATTGTTTAATTAAGCATTGTATTGCTTAATTAAACAAGTAAAAGTGCTTATTTAAACAATTTTAACAAGAAACATTGTTTAATTAAGGTTTTACAGCTTAATTAAACAATTTTTATGTTGATTAATTATATACTTAAGCATGGTTTCCTTATTCAGAGGGGGGCCACTCAAGCGAAGCCAAAATTGCTTGGATTGTTCGACCCCACATTTGGAGCCGCGTGTGACGCGTGTGTTGCAGTTGGTCCGCACCCGAAGTGGACGTCCGCGGCACTGGTGGCCGAACAAGCGTTCCAGACACAGCACCTGGAACACTTCCACCTTTGCGCTGCAGGCAGACTTAGAGGACAAAACAGAATCTGGTCCAAACAGTTCAAAGTCCTGGTCTTTCTCAGGCACAGGTACGTTCTGGGAGAACTCTCAACTCCAACCTTGCACAGGTGAGGCCGTGGCGCTTCACAGCTCCTCAGGAGTCCGCTACCATGTGAAAAAGCGTGCAGCACTCGATCTTTTTCTTGAGCCAAAAGCAAAACGAGTGCGGTCACTCACCTGAATAGAAAGCACTTCAACAGTTGGAGACAGATCGAAAACACTAAGATCAAATGGCACTTTTCTCACGAACAGCGTCTGGAGCGCAGAACTCGTCCGCATGTTTCCAGACTTCAGAAACCACCACGGGCCTGCGCGGTGGCGGCACGGTGTGTTGCGCGGAGATGCGGAATTTGCTGAGCAACAAAAGGTTTTGGTTGGCAAGCATGCCTTTCCCTAGCAGCGCCTGTTGCGAGCGATGTTGTCGCTGCCGTGCTGTCGCTGCCGTGCTGAAGCCCAAGACCTCCGAAGGCCAAGGTTTGTGACAGCGGAATGCACCTGCGCAAAGAGACACGCTTTTTTGGCGTGGGCGGGCCTCAAAGACAGCAGTTGCTGCACTCGGTCCCAGTAAGAACTACAATAAAGAACTGTACAAGACGAGAAGAGGGTGAGACGGGCCGCGACTTGCAGACTGAGCCGGCAGGGATCGTTCGGCCAAAAACGCGAGAAGCCTATGTCCGCTCAGGTGCCCCGTTAGACTGAGTCGCGTCGTGGCAAGAGGTCGGCTCCGAGCGAGGCATCTCTTGTATGCAGCGTAGAAGGCAGGCACCGAGAGCGTTCCCAAAGAGCATGCCACCCGACCCAGCTTCCCGTGAACGGCCTTGCAAGGGCAGGGAGTGTGCTGAGCACATGGTCGTGCCACACAGAATGAAGCCGTGAGTGGTCGGTAAGCCCTCGTCCCAGCTGCATCAGTAATAAACCTGCGCAAAGAGACACGCAACCATGAAGCAAATCCAAGACTCCGATTACACGATGGAACTGACTCAAAAGAGAAAAAAGAAATTGAAGGAAAGGTGCAACCTCCGGTGCGACAGCAAAAAGTGTAGTTCGGACTGTTTCTTTTGAGGGAACGCAACAGCAGAGGCAAGGAATGTCGTGCATGAGGGAGTTTTGGAGTTAAGCACCGTGCACAAGTTCCGAACCGTCAGCCACACCTCTCGATACCATAACTCTGCACAACTCAAGAAGTCCTGTTCAGATCTGGTGGAGATACCTTCCAGAAAATTCCGCCGCTCTTGTATGATCTGTTCCGGCCGACCTTCTCGATACCATAACTCTGCATGGCTTGATCTGCTTGTTCAGAAATGCTAGAGTCACCTCTCCAAAAATTTCCTTCTCTTTGTACGATCTCAAAGCTGGACAGTTATGGGGCTGTCGGGCGACCCCATTTTAAGGCCCGCAAAACACAAGCAATTCTGGCTTCGCCGGTCGGCTCTCCACAGTTGCATTCCGCTTAGCTGCAGCACCATCAAGGGCGAGCACACAGCTGCTTTGGACAAGTTCCGACCTTCCAAACGGTCCTCCACCAGACGCTTCCCAATACAATCAATGACATGCGCAGCTGACGAGATGCAGCAGGAATCAAATTTGCGACCCCAAAAAAAATGGGGCCGTCTTGAGGCCTCAGAAAAGAAGCCGCGACATGCAGCCAACCTCCTTCAACATATTTTGACTGGCAACCAGAGGACTCCAACATCGGCGCCGCTTGGCGGCCCCGATTTTGGGGTTGCGAATTTCTCATTTTCTGGGGCCCAAGCCACTTGAGCCCAAGTCTGTGCGTTCCAAACTGCTACATCAAGACGATCCGCCTAGGCATCCAGTGTAAAAAATCGTTCTCCAAGAACCAGAATTTCCAACAGACAGCTTGCTTGTGGAAGTGACAGACATGAGAGAACAGAGGGAGGCCACTCAAGCGAAGCTAAAATTGCTTGGATTGTTCGCCCACATTTGGAGCCGCGTGTGATGCGTGTGTTGCAATTGGTCCGCACACTGAAAATGCGCGATTTTCTTCAAAATGCGTCAAACGACCATCTGCAACATCACGATTGGCGACACTCTCGCACGGGAGATTGCATGTAAACTGCACGTTTGCGCACCTTGACGTAGTCTGAAAACTGCAGATTTCTGGTGTTCACAGGTGGAATGTTTCTTTGCAAAGTCTGTGTCAAAGTGGGCGGGACAATGAATGTTTTCCTACAACTGTTGAAAATGTCCACTGCACGGGTGTTTCTTACCATCGACATGCCTATTCGGCCTTACGTCCTTTTTTTGGCGTGACTGGGCCTTGTCGACTGAACTAACAAACTACTAACAAGACAAAAGACTTGAAAAAACGGTAAAACAGAAGGCGAAACTCTACAAGGGCTGCAGCACACAGACCTGGCCGGTGGTAGCCGTTCAGCAACTACGGAGTCTGCGTCTGAAGAAGCTTGTCGCTTTGAGCCGTCTAAATAACAGGTGGAGCCGAAAAGCGGCAGCAGTAGTGCCGCAGGCAAGCAGTCCACCTCCCAAACTAAGAAGGAAACCAAGAGCCGATAGTGTCACAAACGCGAGATGCAGTCCGTCTGCGATACAAGCAAACGGCGTGATGCTCACAGCAAAATTGCTGGACAACAACAGGGTATTCGACACGATAAAGAGATGGCAAGTCCGCTACCGCCATAACCACATCAATGTCTGCAGCGTGAGCGAAGTCCCTCGTCAAACAGACGGTAACGACCCAGCTGCAGAAAAAGAAATGTTATGACCAGCACCGCAGCCATAATTACCCAAGGGGAAAACCCAGGAAGCCATACGCTTGTAGGTCTGATGTCGTCTGGAAACCACACGTTCGTGGCCTCTTCAAAACCTCACGGTTATGGCCTTCAACTACGTGTGTAGCCTATCTTTGTTTCAGAGCACAGTTGGCCAATCAGACGGTAAGAGCGCCAACTGTCTTAAAGTTCTGTGCGTTGCACTGCCGGACTAACGCACATTAGGAGCTTTACACACATATCCTTGCCTAGTTCTGCATGTAAGCGTGGTTAGGCGACTGTGACCTGCAGTTCACCGAATTGCACACACTGTGGATTGTCTGTCTCGATTCTGGGTCACAGTCATTTCCGGCCGGCTCAATGACTCCGACACCCAGCTTTGAAGCCTTCTTCCTAGCAAATTGGACTGGACTTTGGCTCGACCGTAACAAAACAAAACGTAAGGGCTTGTTGTCTGACGAGACGAGAACGGCGCCGGAGCTTGGTCTTGGCTCCACCTGCTGCTTTGAGCAGCTCAAAGTGACGGCTCTTTGTGCTTCTAATCTGTCGCTGAGCTTACCAAGTCTGTGCGCTGCAGCTCTTGTGGAGCTTCGCTTTTGTCTCACGCTTTGCTTTCAATTGCTTGTTTGTAGTCTGTTTGTTTGTAGGGACCGAGTGCTACAGCCGGGTTCGACGAGGTCCGCTCGCGCCAAAAAACGGTAAGAGTGCCTTGAGTTTGAGCAACATAAGTATATGAAACTGTTGAACAGTTTGGATTCGGGGGCATTTGTCCCGAGACTGCTGGGCTCCAAGAAGGATCAGGCAAGGATGCGCCGAACGCGAAAGGTGATGGAAAACCCACGCCGAAAGGCAAGGCAAAGGCCAAGGGTGGAAAGGAGACCGTTGCTGAAGTGGCACCTGATGAAGGTGATGGTGTTGATCCCACTGGAAATCAGGAATGGACTGAGCCAGAGTCCGAGGCTCTTGTGAGCTCGATGATGATGCCACTCAATGAGATTGTTGAAGAGGCTCGGCGGGATTGGATTCCGCGGCCCAGGATGAGTTTGTTGTGACTCAAGAAGCAAGTTTCAAAGTTCGGATGGCCGAATTGGAGCATAGGATTGCAAGTGATCTCAGTGAGATGCTGGGAAAGGATATGCCAGGGTCGGTGAATCTACTGAAAGGATCTCAGGTGAACGGAGTTAGTAGCTTGAACAACGACCAGATGGCAAATTGGTGGCTCATTGATTCTGGTGCTTCAGTGACAGTGATTGCCAAGAAGTTTCTCGATACCTTCCATGTGGTGTCTAGGATGCCTTTGTGCCCGAGTGAGAGGTACTCAGCTGCAAATGATACATATGCCTGTGACGGTGTTTGAAAGGGTGAGAGTGAGAGTAAAGATGCCTCTGAAGGGGATTCGTATATCGGGATGGTCCCGGTGATGGTGACTGGAGTTGTAGCTGATGTTGGTCACAACATCTTGAGCACGGAGCACATGGTGGCTACCGGCTGGGAAGTGAAGTTTTCGAAAGCGGAGATTTCGTTTCGCCGAGTGAAAGGAGGATTGGTTGGGTATGG